TGAACTAAAGTTCTCAGGAACTACTGTGGGAAAAGTACTTGGTGTGAACGCGCCTATGGGTATTGTTTGTGGTGTCAGGCTGTGTGCAGTTTGCCCTGAGCAGTTTGTGTGAGCAGCCACCAGAGGGCAGCATGGTGCAGGTTTGAACCAGCAGCTGACAGGAGGCTGATGGGATGTTAACCCAGCACAGATAACAGCATGCAGCTCGCTCTGTAGTATGAAACAGATTGATACACATACACACAAAGAAATACAACATACAGTACAGGTTGATGTGTTGATGGAAATATACACAAAGGATGCACTCTGTTTTGAGGTCACTTTGAAGTACTGTAGTAGTCTTGGGTCCATTTCTAGAAGAGGTCTCATTATTCAAGTTTATGTGTAAATGTATCTATAGTCGTTGTGTCTGTTTGTATTTATTTGATGTAAAGGACCCCCGATGCATCAGCCAGACATCGCCATCAGCTGATGTTTGACATCATTTCTGCCATCTGCAGATCAGCAATAAAAGATGACATAGAGTGGCGAAGTCACGCCCACTTACTTCCGGGTAATGGGACCTTATTTCGGAAAAATTATGCATTGAAGTCAATGGGGAGAGAAAACGTATCTTTCGATCCCGTTGGAATTGTGCCATGAATTACACATATGATGTTTGTCAATCTTAAAAAATAATTTCCATGTCAAAAAAGACACAGTTTGTCGTAAAACTGTTGAAATATAAGACTATGAAAAATACGTAACTAGAAAGACTACAAATCCCAGAGTCGCGTAAGTGATGTCACAATTGTTTTGATCAGCGCCATATAGATATAATCTATCTATATGGCGCTGGCTAAGATAAGATAACTTTAACAAGATGCCTGTGTGCTTAGTACCAGGTTGTTATTATACCAGCAATGGGTCTTGCTCGTTCTTTTGCTTCCCGTCTGATGAAAGGACCAGGAGTGGCTTGATCAAGTTAGCTACCTAGCTAGTAGCTAGCACGTTAGTTAGCATTACAGCCTTGTCATTTTTATTAGCCTTAACATGAAGTAACATTAAGTAACCCAAAATGTTAAACAGTAAGAGTAGTAGTCATATTTCGTGAACCCTTTGAATAGTACTGTCACCGGTGTGATCATTCTATAATACACAATTTAAGCCCGGGGGAGAAATGCTAACGCTAACGTTAGCATCGGCGATCTTCTCTACTTCATGCTATCTGCACAAATGGTTGACATTAAACATTAAAACGACCAGGCAGTTCAGAGAGAATCAAAGGAAGGCAGGCAGGCAGCTTTGTATGACATTCTTCAGGACGTGTTTCATTGTGGTGATAGTGAGGGAAGTCAATCGTTTTGTTGACAAGACACTACAGCAGTGATGGCCATCTTGGTGACGTGTGTGGTTGACCAGAGATGTAGTTCATTGAGCGGTTCACACAAACAAATGTGTTACTTCACAGTTTTACGACACATTTTTTTTTTTTTGACTTGCAAAATTATCTTTTAAATTGACAAACATCATATGTATAATTCGTGGCACAATTCAAACGGGATCGAAAGATAATCTTTCTCTCTCCATTGACTTCAATGCATAACTTTTCCGAAATAAGGTCCCATGGAGGTCCACCGGAAGGGGAGGGACTTCGCCACTCTATTAAGCGATGGCAGTAGCTGATCTTAATATGTTGTGCTGGGCCATGTGAAGTGCCCACATTGCCAACGTTCAGATCAGGGCTGGGCAATATACTGATATTACTTAAAGATAAAAGGTTCAAAGATCAAATGGTTTTATCGTCATATGCACAACAGTTGTAGTGTAGTTTTAGCCAGAGCTTGAAGTGGGGATAAAAGTGCCACGCCCTTATTCACATATTAGCATGTTTATCAGTAAACAATTATTACAGTGAATAACAAGCACAGTCCTTCTCAGTCTGCTCCAGGTTGAATTACACTGCCCTTCATTTGAAATACCAAACATATATCTATAGGTGGAGATGAAGCCCTTCAGAGCTTAGATCAAAGAGTGCAGCGTGTACAAAAGATTAGATCTAATAGAGTATCTTACTCAAGGTCAAGTACAAGTTAGCGTACATAAATACATTTTACCCAAGAAAAATGACTTGCAAATAAATTGACAGAGAAAATTGAAAAATATATAAAATACTTTAGCCCAAGGGTTGTGATGAGGTGCTGGTCTGGAAGTAGGACTATGTGCATATACTTTATTTATATCTGGTTATTTTGAGAAGGCCTGGGGCCTACACCTGATAATAACTTATCAAAATATGCATTCCTGAGTAGAGTAACTACAATTAACCAGAGTACACTAAGCATCAAGCTACATGAATATAAATAAACACAAATACAAAAACATCAAGGTCTCAAAAACAGGTGTATCAATTAAATAAGCCCCTTTGCAGCCACAGTCTATGCAGCCATGGCCGTTCTCACCATTGAGGTCACGAGGTCCGGACCGAGGTAATTTTTTGGAGGTGAACCTCCAAGGTGCGCAATAAATTATTGCGCAATCTATGCCTGTGAGCGTGCTGCGTGAGCCGAGATGATGTGTTATGTGGTGTGCGTAGTTGAACCTTTTCATATTTAAGTTTGTAGCAAGTAGAGGGCTGCTGTGTGTGTCTGTCTGTCTGTCTGTGTGTGTGTGTGTGTGTGTGTGTGTGTGTGGTGTGTGTGTGTGTGTGTGTGTGTGTGTGTGTGTGTGTGTGTGTGTGTGTGTGTGTGTGTGTGTGTGATTATATATTGCAGCTATACTTTGGTTTAAATTACATGATTAAAATAGCTAGAGGGCAAAAGTTAATTTAATTCATCAGACCTTTTAATGCTTTTCTTTCATTATAATGAATGGGGTCTGCCCCTGAGCCCCACTAGCATGTTTTGGACCTCAGTATTTACGAAATCCTGGATACGGGCCTGTATGCAGCAAACAGTCGTTGCTTTAAACACACATAACGGTGTTAGGCTAGAGCAAAAAAGTGTTGCAGCTTTTCAAATTGACGCACTGCGTAGTGCGCACACAGCGCTACCTTGTAATGCAAGTGGATGTCCCTCTCGTCAAACGGACTATAGCAGAGGATAGTTTAGGTTTGCTAATGGCAGCACCTGAGCGCCAACGTAGTGCGCATGCGTCTTTGAGTACCCGCTGGGAACATACGTCTCCCTGGGAAAATCAATATTGTTTCCTGTTAAAGGCAAAAGGATCAATGGAACATGATTTTAGAGGGCTGAGTAGAGTCCCTGCAGCCTGTGAGAAGTGCCTGTACGCTAGGGATGTTAAGATTCACCGATTCGCACCGGCATAAACGTTCAAGATGCGAGTGCACCGGTTGAAAGAGTGCACATCGGCTACAGTTTGGGTTGAACTCGCGATGCATCGATTGTAGCGTCTTTGCATCGGTAACAAAACGATTCATTCATATAATATCCTCTCATCCTGTCAGCACTCAGCAGAGACGATCTTTGATCTTTGCTTCGCCACTACGGAGGCCGAGAGTCTCACTTATCAACACACATGGAAGTCGAGGAGAAAGAGAAACACAGCGCACCGAAAAATAGCTACAAATCTAACGTTTGGCAACACTTCGGATTTTTCAAGAAAGACGGTCAACTTGAAAAATCGCTCACAAATTGTAAACGATGCCGTGCGGCTTTAAAGTACACAAGTCGTACGAGGAACTTAGCGACGCATATAAAGAGGCGACATGGGGTCTGCGGCTGAAAAGAGAAACCTGAAAGTTAGACATGAGTTCAATCACTCAGTGAGGTGTTCTGTCAGTGAGAGTGGTGTTTAGTTTACAACAGCCTGTGACTGCCAATAATAGTTTAAATGTCTTCCTTACTGTAAGCAGTTATGAAATACCTGTGAAAGGTTATTTTCTTTATTGTTCCTATAGAAACACTGCTTTCTGCTCACTGGTGAGTTGGCCTATGAATGAGTGTTAAGCACATCAGGCTGGTATGGGCATTGCACGATGGTAGTTGTTATTTGCACATTGTTAATCCTGGGCAATGCATCCTTAAATTGTTTAACTGGGAGGTGTTATAACATTGTACTTTACTCTGGAGAGTGTTTTAAGGTAAAAAAGGTAAAAAAGAAACAGCATGATGGGATGCGCAGTACTAGTAGAGAGAACCAAATATGTAAAGCACTTTTTTGTTAATGTATGATTTGCTGCATATAAGGAATAAAACAAAATCCTCTGTCGTACCATATTGAATTGTATCATTATTTTGCATCGTGTTGAATCGCATCGTATCGCCCCGTATCGCATAATGTTGAATCAAATCGCATCGAACTGTATCGCAACAGGGGTGAATCGTATCGTATCGCATCGCCTGGTGTTTCAAATGTATCGTTAATGTATCGTATCATTGGCAACGTATCGAGATGCGCATCGCATCGGCCTCAGTGATGGAGATGCACATCCCTAGTGTACGCAAATAGTCACGATACGCCAAAGAATAAAATGTGGAAGTGCCGGTACTGCGTAGCGGTGAGTAGTGGCCCACTTCGAGCACTGGTTTTAGCAATAACATTCTCAGACCCAGGCTCCTCCAACAGTGCGACTTTGGATAGACATCAAGGAAATAATGAAAAGAAGTGCAATAAAGCTGTGAAAGTGACACAACTGTTTACATAAATGATGCCAATCACAGCATGTCCCCTCTCAATAAATTAAAAGCTTGTTCTGTTTATTCATTATTTTTATAAGATGAGTGATTATTTAAATTAAATATGTCTTATCATAAAAAGTAACGTGTAATAATGGATTATGATGGACGACGAGAGTGGAGCAATGTGTACAGCAGCTCAAGTAGCTTTTTTAAGAGTTATCTTTGAATTTGTGCTTGATTAGAGTTAGTGTCAATTTGTGGAGTTTTTGTGTCTCTTTGTTGAGTAGAAAGGTCTAATTGAAATCAAAATGTGAGCATGGTTGGACATGATATTACCAAATCATTGAAGTTAACTAACGAGCTGTTGTCGATTCTTTTCAGTTCCTTCAAAGCGATGGACTCTGAAGGCAGCGGGACGATGGAGGTGGCGGCACTCGGACGGCCTTTCAGCCTCGGGATGTTGTACGACTGCCGCAACGACTCTCTCGTCCCTGGTGAGGAAAAAACATCACCTTTAAAACAGACATTTTCTTTTTACCAGGAACGAAACACACAGATGAAAAGTTATAAATAAGTTATTTAAGATTTGTTGTTGATAGCATGGATTTGACTGTGATGTTGCAGAGTTGGAAGAAGCAGGTTTGGACTAGCTTGTTTATGTGAGGCTCAAGTTTAGATTCTGGTCAAAGATCACACCCAGGTTTCTTGTGTATGGTTCATCGTTGAGGGCCAGGGTGTTGATTTATGTCAGAGACAAAGTTACCAGGGACACTAAGAAAGACCTCGATTTTGTGGTTGAATACTTTTAGTTTAACATGCCATGACAATCACAAAATATTCTACAATAGTTAGGCTACTGATTGCTGTTATCTGTCACTGTTACCGCTGAACTGGAAGTTATTTGACTTTTATTGTTTATTGGAATAAACTCAGAACGGCTAAATGAAGGTTTTCACAGAATTCAAAAACTCTAAATGAACATCTGTTTCCTATAACTACCATAGAAATAACCCAAAATAACCCTGTATCATAGTGCCTGGCCATATAACTTTCTTTATGGTTTTGCTCAACAACTGCGGTCTGCACCACTCTGTCAGGTTCACAACAAGGATGCAGTGTAACAGTCATGAAAATAGTCAAGTACATTAAACTGATTTGTGTCTTTTTGTCTTGTAAGCAAGAAGATCTTTCTTTATTATCATAAATGTTCTCAGGAATCGAATCACTGAACAAAATCATTCTATATTTCAGTTCCTAACAACAGGAAAGCTAAAATTATTGGAAGTACGATGCGTTGATTCCCCTTAAAATTATTGTGTGTATTAACATTGAATCTGGTTCTAGCTTGATTTTGGTTCTTCTTTTGCAGGAATGACTTTGTGGGACCGTGATGACCTTAAAAATCATATTGGAGAAAGTGCACAGAGCTATAATGATTGTGATATAGTTGCATCTGAATCAATTGAGGATAAATCTTCAGCACTAAATGTTGAAGCATCGCTGAAGGCTAGTTTCTTGTGTGGACTGGTAAACGTTGGTGGATCAGCCAAATACTTGAACGATAGCAAGACTTCCAAAAATCATGCCAGAGTAACACTGAAGTACCAAGCTACCACAAAGGTCCATGAACTGTCCATGAATCATCTTGGAAGAGGCAATGTTAAGCATCCATATGTCTTTGATCAAGGAATAGCCACACATGTAGTCACAGGTATCCTTTATGGCGCACAAGCCTTCTTTGTCTTTGACCGTGAGGTGTCTGTCAACGAGAACTATCAAGACATTCAGGGCAACTTGAAGGTGATGATCAAGAAAATTAGCTCCGTTTCAATAGATTGTGAAGGCTCGCTGAAAATGGAAGACAAGGACAAAGCACATGTTGAGAAATTCTCCTGCAGATTCATTGGAGACTTTTTAGTCCAGAAATCTCCTACATCCTTTCAGGAGGCAGTAGAGGTGTACCAAAGTCTGCCAAAGCTGCTGGGAGCCAACGGGGAAAAAGCAGTACCAGTGAAGGTCTGGCTGTTGCCTCTGACATCTTTAGATTCTAAAGCCGCTAAACTTGTCCGTCAGATAAGTATAGGATTAGTTGAAGAATGTCAGAGTGTCCTGGAGGACTTCAGTGACCTGGAAATGAGGTTCAACGATGCACTGAGAACCCAAACTGCACAGCAGTTCCCACAGATTGGAAAAAAACTCAAAACCTTTAAACAGAAGTGCTCTCAGTTCAAACTGGAATTCCAACAAACCCTGGCAAAGAAACTTCCATCAATCCGAGGAGGAGGAGAAGAAGAAGCTGTGCTCGCAGAGGAACTGAGGAAGACATGTTCTTCTCCTTTCAACAGCAAGGACCTGAACGAGTGGATGGACTGTAAGGAGAGAGAAATATACACCGTGATGTCTCTGACCGACATGATGACAAACACCAAGATCATCTCATCTCAAACAGACCTGAACAAAGAAATTCTCTTTCTCAAAAAAGCAGAGCAGGCTGTGTGTTTTGTCTTCACCTCGCTGGGGAGTGATGAACCGTACCTCTCAACTTTATCAAACTACCTTCAACAAACACCCAAACCAGACGATGCCCAAGATCCCCCCCCTCCAGATCAATGGTACAACTCAAGAAAAGAAGGGGAAGCAATGCGGCATAAAGCAAAGCTCTTCAGTGATTTTGCAGAGGCCAACAAGGAGAACAAGAACATCACATTCCTGACGGTGGGTTTAACAAACGAGACACAGAAAGGTGCCAGCATCTACCTTTATACAGACGGCCTTTCTGTCAATGAGAACTTTGAGCCGCCTTCAAAGCCTGCAACAGTAACAGGAAGTGATATAAATCACAGCAGTGTGACGCTGAACATTTCTCCACCCAGATTTGGAGCAGAGGAGATCACCTCCTACTCTGTTGAGTACTGTGTCAGAGGAGAGGACGGCTGGAAACAAAAGACAGCATCCAAAGCTGAAGAAGTCACAGTGAGCGGCCTGAGTCCTAACACAGAGTACATGTTCAGATGCAGGGCAGCGACACCAGTAGGTGCCGGGCCAGCCAATGAAGTCAGTGGATCCATTCAAACCTTACCCTGCAGCCCTCCTGGAAAACCCAACGTTGAATCTACCTCAGGTGAGATATCAGTCAGCTGGGAGAAACCTGCTGAGCTCGGACAAGATGTCCACGTTTTGAGCTACATCGTGGAGTACGCCGAACAAGACCAACAGGTGAAAGAGGAAGATCTCCACTGGGAGCAAATGATGGCGGGAGCTGAGAAGGCGATCATTTCAGGACTTCAGCCAGAGACAGAATACGCTGTCAGGGTCAGGTGTGATTGTGGTGCAGCTGGAAGAAGCAAAGAAAGCATCGCTGTTAATGTCGGCACAACTAAACCTTTACGTCTCACAGAATTCCTCAAAAGTAAAAGCAAAAGGATAATTTCTAAATCTCCCTCAGTTTACAAACTGCCTCTGACAGAAGAAGATATCAACGTCAAAGGATGCCGGAGGTACAACTTTGGCAAAGAAAGCATGACACGAAATCGCACAATAATGCTTGTTGGAGCAACTGGATCTGGAAAGTCCACTCTGATCAATGGACTCATCAACTACATCGTTGGTGTAGAGTGGGAGGACGATTTCAGATTCAAGTTAGTTGACGAGGATCAGTCGAGATCTCAAGCTGAGAGCCAGACCTCTGAAGTCACTGTGTACAACATCAACCACCAAGAGGGCTTTAAAATCAATTACTCTCTGACCATTGTGGATACTCCAGGTTTTGGAGATTCAAGAGGAATAGAAAGAGACGAGGAGATCAAAGAACAGATTCGTAATCTCTTCTCTGACGATCGTGGCGTCAGTGAAATTGACGCTGTGTGTTTTGTAGCTCAGGCTGCTTTAGCTCGGCTCACACCATCACAGAAGTATGTGTTTGATTCTGTGCTCTCAATCTTTGGCAAAGATGTGGCAGAAAACCTCCAGGTTCTGGTGACATTCGCAGACGGCCAACGCCCACCAGTTCTAGAGGCGATCAATGCTTCAGGTGTCCCATGTCCTAAAACAAAAGACGGGCTGCCAGTTCACTTCAAATTCAATAATTCTGCATTGTTTGCACAGAACCAATCATCTGCTGCTGCTGACTCCAGTGGAGATGAGGTAGATGAAGGCTTTGATCAGAGGTTTTGGCAAATGGGGGCAAAAAGCATGAAGAGGTTCTTTGTTACTACTGATGAGCTAACAACCAAAAGCTTGACATTGACAAAGGAAGTCCTCAGCGAAAGAAGGCAGCTCCAGATCTCAATGGAACATTTGCAACAGCAGGTTAAAGTAGGGTTAGCCAAGCTTGAGACGATTAAAGAGACAACTGCACAACTTAGACTGCATGAAGCAGAGATCAGCAGAAATGAGACATTTGAGATTGAAGTAGTCGTCATGAAGCCTTTTCAAGTAGATATATCAGGCACTGGAAAGTTCATCACCAACTGTCTGGTGTGTAATGTCACCTGTCACTATCCATGTAAACGTCCCAATAATGCAGATAAAAGAAAGTGTTGGGCAATAGGACGAGATGGAAACTGTACTCAGTGTAAAGGCAAATGTCCTTGGAATAAACATGTTAACCAGAAGTACAGATGGGGCTATAAGGAGGTTAAAGAAAAGCAAACATTTGAGGATCTGAAACAAAAGTACCATGTAGCCTCAAAGGCTAAGGGAACTGTTCAGGAAGTGATCGACAAGCTGAAGGTTGAATATCAGTGTCATCAGACTGAAGTGACGGAGATAATGCAGAGGGCTGCTGAGTGTCTGAACAGACTAGGAGAGATCGCACTGAAGCCAAATCCTCTCTCCACTCCAGACTACATTGACCTGCTCATTGAGGGAGAGAAATCTGAGGCCGAGTTAGGCTGGAAGCAACGAGTCCAGCACCTGATGGACATGAGAGGACAAGCAGAGCTCATGGGTAAAGCAAGGAGAGGAGAACACCTGCTTTAAAGTGAAGAATCTTTAACTGAGGGCAACATCAAGACCAGCTCCAACTGAGACCAAGACAAGAGCTGAACATGATATCAAAGAAGAGACGTGTATATACAAAATTAAACAAGACAGGATAGTGAGTGATACTGATCAAGAGTCCTTGATGGCCAACACAACCAAGTGACCATGACACAAATGTTCATGGGTCATTTATTTGTATTTTCTGTTCTTACAAAGTTATTGTTTAACTGTTTTTTTTAATTACATGACATGTCACTTGTACTCAATACTGTGGGCAATCCCCACAGGAGCAATTTGGGGTGTCTCAGGGACACAACGACATGCTGACTGCAGTGGGGTTTGAACCTGTGCTCCCCTGATCCGAACACCAAGGCTCTTCCACTGTGCCACACGCCTCCCTTTAATCCTGAAGGATTACATTTTTCAAAGCAAGATGGTTCGTCTTGAAGAAATGCTGAAGGAGCAGCCGAGAGAAGCTCCTCCAGAGTCCACAGTGATCACAAATCCTTTGGATCAAAACCAAACCAAGACCAAACAGATGGCAGCAAGACCAAGAGGAGATCTATCAACAAACTGGAAGACGTCTGTGTTTTTATATCTGAGATGATCTCACCAACCCTGGGACCCATCTACTTCCTGTTTGGCATGTGTGTTGCTATGGACCAGGGGGAGGTGCTGCCCCGTGTGAGGCTGTTTGGATCAGCGGTTCTGTAGGAATATGAGAGAACCCGGTCCACCCAGCGCTGAGGTGGAATGCAGTTCAAAGTGAAATGTTGGACTCTTTACTTCACCACTCTACTCTTTACTCTTCTGCATCGGGTACCTTTACATTTATTACTATAGCTTCATTTTGATTATACTTTTACACACTTTCACCTGTGTGACATTTTGAATGCAGGACTTCTACTTGTAACAGTATCTATACAATGTGGTATTATAACTTTAACCAAAGTAAAGCATCTGAATACTTCTTCCGTCACTGATACAACACATGAAGTCCAAATAGACCCGCACTCAGAGCTCTAGTGTTAATCAATGAATTACAAAGCTTTATTGTTCTCCTGCACAAACATCTCCCTGCAGGAGCAATCTGCATGTTCTGTTTGACAGGAAGTAACATGTACCATGTGCATGAAATGTGGAAGTGTGATTGTTTTGTGCAGAAATCATTAACGTCCTGACACCATCACCACCAATGGAAAAGATTAAACCTGCAAGTTTATTAAAAGTGATGTTTATTTTCTATTATGATCATTTACAAATATCAGATTATTGCTAAATGTTTTTTCTGCTCTTCATGTTATTTCCTTTGAGATGTGTAACTCTACGTGAGTTTTGTTAATGATGGATTGTATTGCTGAGTGTCCTGAAATGATACGGTGGCTCCTGCTGGATGATGGAGACCTTTCTAAACGTTAAACAATAACTCAGACTAATGTCAAGTTTATTTTAATCAGAACAACAGATATGAGAATAAGGAGATTAAAGAAGATCTATCAACAGCTGAAGGGAAAAAGTATAACTTTTAAATATTGTATTTTTCACATAAGTTTGAATTTATTTCCATTGTAATCGTTTTACTCTGTTGTTGTTTTAACCGGGTTTTCAGCTTCCTGCTTAGTTTAACATTCTTACTATTAGTTTAATATTCTTTGAGTTTTAAAAACATTATACCTGATACTGATGTGTATTGATTATCATTTACTGACAGATGGAGAAATCATTCATTAACAATAAATAAATGTCATTTTGTCTCAAATGTTTCTGGCCTTCTTTATCTCCTCGTTTCAAAGCCTCTAAAACATTTACCCAAATACTGAAGTTCAGTTTAGAGGTACTTGTACTTTACTTGAGTATTTCCATGTTACTTTATATGTTACCTCTCCAAGTTAGATTTCAGAGAATCACTAAATCTCCATGTAATCACTAAAGAAGAACATGAGTAGACTGATTGCAGAGTCATTACAATGAGCAGAACATAATGTTAACCTCCAATAGTGTGTCTGACCCTGCAGTGTAAACGCTCCCTCACTTTAGATCTGAGAATGTATTGAAGGGTAGCCCCTTGAGATGGAGCATCTCATCTTCGAGGGCTCCTAAAACATAAACACACTAATTATAATAAATACATCTGATTTAAAGATCTCCTATCGTGCTGTTTTTAGGCATATATTAAGGGTCTCAGATACATACAGATATATAAAAAACATGTCTATGATGTGTTTTGCTCCAATACCAAACAGATCATTCTAGCCTCATCCCTCCTCTGTTACTAAAGAGATGATTCTGGTTTAAAAGAAAAGAGGGGCGGAGCTTATGCCGAGCATCTGATCAGGAGAATTCTAGCAGCAGAAACTCAGCTAAATGCTGCCGTGATTAAACTCCATATTTCATTTGTATTTGTTCCGTTCATGGTATGCAAAACTTAATGTATAATAATTGTTAACAAAACATGTCTCTGTAAACACACCATGGACCGAAAAGGAGCAGGGAGAAGAAAGTCATCTGATATGACCTGCGCCTTTCTAAAAAAAATGTCCTTCATATTTCTCTTTCACAGCCAATCAGAACAGTATCGTAAGATAATAAGAGAAACACAAAAAATACTTATTTCCCACTTGACAGTTAACGGAAAGAAACAAAACAAAAAAAACAACAACACCAAAACATCACATGTACAAGGACAAGTGCAGATCATGTTCCAAACCACATCAAGGATTCTCTCTGAAACAGTATGGAGCTCAAACTCTTTCTCTCTCTCAGGTTTACCACAAGGTGACTTCCTTTTGATTTCCTGCTTCTTCACACATGCTCTCTCCAGCACAGGTTAGCTCTGAGTGTTAGCATGCTAATGTACACAGACCATATTACTTCCAGAACACGTCTCATTGTTTCTGACAGCAACGTTTCTGATTGGCCCGTGGGTGTAAAGCCCGCCCACATTTTAGTAATGTGGTCATGACGCAGCAAATCTGGATCAGCTCCGTTGTTCCCCCGTTTTTAGAGATGTGGGTACGGAGGAAAAGAGAGAGGGTTTATTTCCTGACTCTTTGTGAGTCTCCTGACACACCGGGGACACACCGGGGACACACCAGGGACACACCGGGGACACACCGGGGACACACCAGGGACACACCGGGGATACACCGGGGACACACCAGGGACACACCGGGGACACACCGGGGACACACCGGGGACACACCAGGGACACACCAGGGACACACCAGGGACACATGGTGATGTAGAGAAGACATCACTTTGTGAGTCTCCTGACACACCGGGGACACACCGGGGACACACCGGGGACACACCGGGGACACACCGGGGACACACCAGGGACACATAGTGATGTAGAAAAGACATCAGAAAGTGACTTTTGCATGATAGGAGACCTTTAAAGGAATAATATGTAATATTAAACTGTCTTTAATGTTATATAATATAATGTACACCAACTCCGGTTCCACTGTTACACCGACGACACCCAACTCTCCCTCTCTACAAAAACTATTTCTGCAACCACCCACTCCCAGCTCACCAACTGCCTCACTGACATCAACACATGGAGACAAAACAACTTTCTGAAACTAAACTGAAACCAAACTAAACTACAAGGAGACGCAAAATGACCCAAAACCACCTTAAAAGATGCAAATCTAATAAATACAGACATTAAACAACCACAAGGAAAGTTAAAGCAATAAAACAGATGCAAAACAACGAGACGCCAAAAGACTAATACATGTTAAACAACCACAAAGAAAAGCTTCTATTTTTACTCAACATCTGAGTACTTCTACTTTAACTCAAGTACAACATCTGAGTACTTCTACTTTAACTCAAGTACAACATCTGAGTACTTCTACTTTTACTCAAGTACAACATCTGAGTACTTCTACTTTAACTCAAGTACAACATCTGAGTACTTCTACTTTTACTCAAGTACAACATCTGAGTACTTCTACTTTAACTCAAGTACAATATCTGAGTACTTCTACTTTTACTCAAGTACAACATCTGAGTACTTCTACTTTAACTCAAGTACAACATCTGAGTACTTCTACTTTAACTCAAGTACAATATCTGAGTACTTCTACTTTTACTCAAGTACAATATCTGAGTACTTCTACTTTTACTCAAGTACAAGATCTGAGTACTTCTACTTTTACTCAAGTAACAGATCTAAGTACTTTTTACTAGATTAATACATTTTCTAGAACAATTGTACCACTATTTAATATGTTGTGTATACCTGAACGAGGTCAGCTTTAGGACCCAGAGCGTCTCTCTGTGTGGGAAACATTTAAAAATAGAAGCAGCAGTGAGGATCAGTTTGGGGGTCAGAGGAGACCTGGACACAGCGGCAGAAAACTGAACGAGACAGAGAGAGTTTATGATCTGCAGAGAAACTGTCCTCTGAAACACAGAGTCTACCTGAGAGACTGTCCTCTGAAACACAGAGTCTACCTGAAGAGAGACTGTCCTCTGAAACACAGAGTCTACCTGAAGAGAGACTGTCCTCTGAAACACAGAGTCTACCTGAAGAGAGACTGTCCTCTGAAACACAGAGTCTACCTGAAGAGAGACTGTCCTCTGAAACACAGAGTCTGCCTGAAGAGAGACTGTCCTCTGAAACACAGAGTCTGCCTGAAGAGAGACTGTCCTCTGAAACACAGAGTCTACCTGAAGAGAGACTGTCCTCTGAAACACAGAGTCTACCTGAAGAGAGACTGTCCTCTGAAACACAGAGTCTACCTGAAGAGAGACTGTCCTCTGAAACACAGAGTCTACCTGAAGAGAGACTGTCCTCTGAAACACAGAGTCTACCTGAAGAGAGACTGTCCTCTGAAACACGGAGTCTACCTGAGAGAGACTGTCCTCTGAAACACAGAGTCTACCTGAAGAGAGACTGTCCTCTGAAACACGGAGTCTACCTGAGAGACTGTCCTCTGAAACACAGAGTCTACCTGAGAGAGACTGTCCTCTGAAACACGGAGTCTACCTGAGAGACTGTCCTCTGAAACACAGAGTCTACCTGAGAGAGACTGTCCTCTGAAACACAGAGTCTACCTGAGAGAGACTGTCCTCTGAAACACAGAGTCTACCTGAGAGACTGTCCTCTGAAACACAGAGTCTACCTGAAGAGAGACTGTCCTCTGAAACACAGAGTCTACCTGAAGAGAGACTGTCCTCTGAAACACAGAGTCTACCTGAGAGACTGTCCTCTGAAACACAGAGTCTACCTGAAGAGAGACTGTCCTCTGAAACACAGAGTCTACCTGAGAGACTGTCCTCTGAAACACAGAGTCTACCTGAGAGAGACTGTCCTCTGAAACACAGAGTCTACCTGAGAGACTGTCCTCTGAAACACAGAGTCTACCTGAAGAGAGACTGTCCTCTGAAACACAGAGTCTACCTGAAGAGAGACTGTCCTCTGAAACACAGAGTCTACCTGAAGAGAGACTGTCCTCTGAAACACAGAGTCTACCTGAGAGAGACTGTCCTCTGAAACACGGAGTCTACCTGAGAGACTGTCCTCTGAAACACAGAGTCTACCTGAAGAGAGACTGTCCTCTGAAACACAGAGTCTACCTGAGAGACTGTCCTCTGAAACACAGAGTCTACCTGAGAGAGACTGTCCTCTGAAACACAGAGTCTACCTGAAGAGAGACTGTCCTCTGAAACACAGAGTCTACCTGAAGAGAGACTGTCCTCTGAAACACAGAGTCTACCTGAGAGACTGTCCTCTGAAACACAGAGTCTACCTGAGAGAGACTGTCCTCTGAAACACAGAGTCTACCTGAAGAGAGACTGTCCTCTGAAACACAGAGTCTACCTGAAGAGAGACTGTCCTCTGAAACACAGAGTCTACCTGAGAGAGACTGTCCTCTGAAACACAGAGTCTACCTGAAGAGAGACTGTCCTCTGAAACACAGAGTCTACCTGAAGAGAGACTGTCCTCTGAAACACAGAGTCTACCTGAAGAGAGACTGTCCTCTGAAACACAGAGTCTTACCTGCAGAAAGCTGGAGAGAAACAGGTGAGTCAGGCTGTCCTTGTGTGAGGCGTTCACTGACCTTTTTATACATTTCTTCTTATTTTATTTAAAGAGCCTGTTTATTTCCTCTTTTTTAACTTAATTTAAAAAAAAATTGTTATTTCATATTTATTTTGTTAAATTTTTATCTGTGATAATCATCTATTTCATTTTTTATATTTTTCCATCTTGCCAATTATACATTTTCTGTTAGTCTCTGACTTTTCAGGTATCTGTGAGTACGGCAGCCTGCGAGGGTCATTTTATTTTAGTACGGCAGCCTGCGAGGGTCAGTCTGTGGGTGTTTCTCAATCGCGAGTAAAGCTGCTTCAGAGACACTATTTCAAGCATACTACGTCATCGAGTGCCGCCGAAGTACTGTTCCAATCTCCAATATACTTGGAAATCTACCGAGCCCGGCGTACTCCGTTTGGAGAAATATCGAGTCTGCACATGAGTAGACTTCGCGGTCTTAAAATCCCCACAATGCTTTGCGCACGGACCAATTTCCCCAAATCTGTGGCGGAAGATGTAAGGCGGGGCCTCTCATATGACGCACACCTGCACACTTGCTAGCCTGTTCCACTCTTTGTTTTCCGAATGCCAGGAAGTATTCTTGACTCGCTTCTGAAGCAAGATGCTCGGCAGACATGTGCTACCAAGCAAGCGTACTCGCGATTGAGAAACACCCTGTGAGTACGGCAGCCTGCGAGGGTCATTTTCTTTTAGTACGCCAGCCTGCGAGGGTCAGTCTTTTTTATTTTAGGTGATTTTATTTACTTTTTATTTTTAAGCAAGTTGTCTTTTTTTATCTTATCGTCTAAATATATTTTATTCTTTATTTAATTTTTTATTATAGGTCATTTTTCTTTGTGTCATATAAGTATTTTTTATTTATTTTGTATCATTTTATCTGAGATCATCTTTTATTCGATTTTTATATTTACCCACCTTGCCACATTTTGTCCGTCTTCAGGTGTCTGTCAGGGTCAGTTTGTTTTATTCTAAGTATTTTAGTTTTATTTCATAATATTGTTTCATTTAATCTGAGATCATAATTTATTTCATTTTCATATTTTCTCACGTTGCCAATTATACATTTCCTATTTGTCACACACCTGGTAAAAGTCCATTTACGTTTTGTCTGTCTGACTTTTCAGGTATCTGTGAGGGTCAGTCTGTGAGTACGGCAGCCTGCGAGGGTCAGTCTCAGGATGCTGCAGCTGTGTCAGGTGACCCGCTCTCTCTTCATCAGTAACTGTCGCTCCGCCTGCAGCGAGGAACTCCTGCAGCGCGAGAACATCACGCTCGTTATCAACGTCTCCAAGAAGCAGCCGTTCCCCCCCGATGTTCAGAGATGGCAAAAGTACACACCTCCTTTACTCAAGTAGAAGTACAGATACTCGTGTTTAAAAATACTCTGTTAAAAGTAGAAGTACTGACTAAACTTTATTACTCAAGTAAAAGTAAAGAAGTATGGGCTTTGAAATGTACTTAAGTAAAAAGTACCCATAACTAGCAGCTATTTTAAAGAGTACCTGACCTCCCTTTATATTAATAGAACAATAATGTCATGCTAAGCTAACGTCTAGGAGGAGATTCCGGTGATAAGTTGGGGGGGGGGGGGGGGGGGTTACCTTGGTTGCTGATTGGCTAATGGTTACACAAGCCAAAACATCGTTATGACATCATCAAGTGGCCAAAATCTGATCAGCTCATTTTCAGACAGGTTTTTATAAAAATGGATCAGGACAAAAAGAGAGAGAATCTTTGTTCCTGAAACTTTCAGAGTCTCTTTCCACAGAGGGGACACATGTTGATGAAGAAGAGACATGAAGAAGAGGGGACACATGTTGATGAAGAAGAGACATGAAGAAGAGGGGACACATGTTGATGAAGAAGAGACATGAAGAAGAGGGGACACATGTTGATGTAGAAGAGACATGAAGAAGAGGGGACACATGTTGATGTAGAAGAGACATGAAGAAGAGGGGACACATGTTGATGTAGAAGAGACATGAAGAAGAGGGGACACATGTTGATGTAGAAGAGACATGAAGAAGAGGGGACACATGTTGATGTAGAAGAGACATGGAGAAGAGGGGACACATGTTGATGAAGAAGAGACATGAAGAAGAGGGGACACATGTTGATGTAGAAGAGACATGAAGAAGAGGGGACACATGTTGATGTAGAAGAGACATGAAGAAGAGGGGACACATGTTGATGTAGAAGAGACATGAAGAAGAGGGGACACATGTTGATGTAGAAGAGACATGAAGAAGAGGGGACACATGTTGATGAAGAAGAGACATGAAGAAGAGGGGACACATGTTGATGTAGAAGAGACATGAAGAAGAGGGGACACATGTTGATGTAGAAGAGACATGAAGAAGAGGGGACACATGTTGATGTAGAAGAGACATGAAGAAGAGGGGACACATGTTGATGTAGAAGAGACATGAAGAAGAGGGGACACATGTTGATGTAGAAGAGACATGAAGAAGAGGGGACACATGTTGATGTAGAAGAGACATGAAGAAGAGGGGACACATGTTGATGTGGAAGAGACATGAAGAAGAGGGGACACATGTTGATGTAGAAGAGACATGAAGAAGAGGGGACACATGTTGATGTAGAAGAGACATGAATAAGTGGATTTTGTATACTGTAAGAGGTGACCTTTAAGTACAGTAACAAAGTATTTGTACTCCATTACTTCCCTTCTCTGTGTGTGTGTGTGTGTGTGTGTCCCCGATGTCACCAGGCTGAGGATCCCTGTGTACGACGACCCGAACGAGGACCTGCTCTCTCACTTCGACCGCAGCGCAGACTCCATCCAGCAGGAGGCGCTGCGGGGGGGGCGGAGCCTCGTTTACTGCAAGAACGGACGCAGCCGCTCGGCCACCGTCTGCATCGCTTACCTGATGAAGCACCGAGAGATGAAGCTGTTCGAGGCTAAACTGGTGAGGAACATCTGACACCAGCCAATCAGAGGACAGGATTTTAGAAGGGATAGTACATTTCAAGCTGCCACCTTTAGCCTAGCGGTGGTGACGTGAAGTCATGTGACCGTGCTGTAGTTTCTTTATAGACCAACATTAGCCTCCTTTAGCTTAGCGGTGGTGACGTGAAGTCATGTGACCGTGCTGTAGTTCCTTTATAGCCCAACATTAGCCACCTTTAGCTTAGCGGTGGTGACGTGAAGTCATGTGACCGTGCTGTAGTTCCTTTATAGCCCAACATTAGCCACCTTTAGCCTAGCGGTGGTGACGTGAAGTCATGTGACCGTGCTGTAGTTCCTTTATAGCCTAACATTAGCCGCCATTAGCTTAGCGGTGGTGACGTGAAGTCATGTGACCGTGCTGTAGTTCCTTTATAGCCCAACATTAGTTTTGAATCCAAAATCCAATAAAAAAATCCCATTCGATTTTTGTCACCTTAAATGAACTAAAACTGATTTATCATGATGTCGCATTATCATAAAAAATATTGGTCTTAAAACCAAACTGCATTAATATCTCCTTCCTTTGACAGCATTGATATAAAGTCATTTTAAAATAAACCTGCAGTAAAGTGAAAACAGAGGTCGAGATGGATACCAGAGACAGAGAGGTAGAAACGCTGAGTCAGCAGACACTGACGCTCATGTTTCGGAGGTGCCCTCTGAACACTGTGACGCTGCACATTTCATATTTCATTTAAAGTGCTTTGTCCATCTCTAATTCTGCTTTCAGTAGAGACACTACATACTGATATACACCTGAACATCAGCAGGAGAGGACTCTTTAAAGTAGAGACACTACATACTGATATACACCTGAACATCAGCAGGAGAGGACTCTTTAAAGTAGAGACACTACATACTGATATACACCTGAACATCAGCAGGAGAGGACTCTTTAAAGTAGAGACACTACTTACTGATATACACCTGAACATCAGCAAGAGAGGACTCTTTAAAGTAGAGACACTACATACTGATATATACCTGAACATCAGCAGGAGAGGACTCTTTAAAGTAGAGACACTACATACTGATATACACCTGAACATCAGCAAGAGAGGACTCTTTAAAGTAGAGACACTACATACTGATATACACCTGAACATCAGCAGGAGAGGACTCTTTAAAGTAGAGACACTACATACTGATATACACCTGAACATCAGCAAGAGAGGACTCTTTAAAGTAGAGACACTACATACTGATATACACCTGAACATCAGCAGGAGAGGACTCTTTAAAGTAGAGACACTACATACTGATATACACCTGAACATCAGCAAGAGAGGACTCTTTAAAGTAGAGACACTACATACTGATATACACCTGAACATCAGCAGGAGAGGACTCTTTAAAGTAGAGACACTACATACTGATATACACCTGAACATCAGCAGGAGAGGACTCTTTAAAGTAGAGACACTACATACTGATATACACCTGAACATCAGCAGGAGAGGACTCTTTAAAGTAGAGACACTACATACTGATATACACCTGAACATCAGCAGGAGAGGACTCTTTAAAGTAGAGACACTACATACTGATATACACCTGAACATCAGCAGGAGAGGACTCTTTAAAGTAGAGACACTACATACTGATATACACCTGAACATCAGCAGGAGAGGACTCTTTAAAGTAGAGACACTACATACTGATATACACCTGAACATCAGCAGGAGAGGACTCTTTAAAGTAGAGACACTACATACTGATATACACCTGAACATCAGCAGGAGAGGACTCTTTAAAGTAGAGACACTACATACTGATATACACCTGAACATCAGCAGGAGAGGACTCTTGAACTCTTAGAACATTTATTGATTATTTCATTGTCTCTGTTTTCCTCAGAAAGTGAAGACGGCTCGTTACGAGATCGATCCGAACCCCGGCTTCCTGTCTCAGCTGCAGAGATACGAGCAGGTGCTGAAAAAGAGACGAGTACAGAAAGAGAGACAGAAAGACAGACAGGTGGAGAGACAGACAGACTGACTGACGGACAGACAGAAAGACAGACAGGTGGAGAGACAGACAGACTGACTGACAGACAGACAGACAGACAGACAGACAGACAGGAAGACAGACAGGTGGAGAGACAGACAGACTGACTGACGGACAGACAGAAAGACAGACAGGTGGAGAGACAGACAGACTGACTGACAGACAAACAAACAGACAGGTGGAGAGACAGACAGATGGAGAGACAGATTGACTGACTGACAGACAGACAGAAAGACAGACAGGTGGAGAGACAGACAGACTGACTGACAGACTGACTGACAGACAAACAAACAGACAGGTGGAGAGACAGACAGGTGGAGAGATAGATTGACTGACTGACAGACAGACAGACAGAAAGACAGACAAACAAACAGACAGGTGGAGAGAGAGACAGACTGACTGACAGACAGACAAACAGACAACAATCAAACAGACAGAGACTTACTGTCTGTGTCTCCGGTTGTGAATCTGACTGATTAAATCTCTGGTTTTTAGGATAGTGTATTTGGGCCATTGTACATTTCTTTTCTTTTTTTATTAAGAGCTGGATAAATGGATTAACATTCTGGAAAAAGATCTGAGTTTTCTTATATTAATGTCATATTAAGGAGGAAAATCCTGAGTTTTTATCTACATTTGTAAAATGAAGCGATGTGGTTAACAGGCAGGAAACTAAAACTACAATTTAAGTTTTATTTTGTAACTTTATGAGGTTTTTTTCTTGCTAATTTTCAGACTGTAATCTCAGAGAGTTTCCACATTTCCCCCCCTAATTTATGATTTCATTATCTCTGAACATATTTGAGTTTAATCTCCAAATTGTTTTAGTTCTATTTTGAAAAATAAGCAATTTTATTTCAGAGATTTTCCAAAAATGAACCTTCTTCATGTTAGAAAGTTTCTGATTGACTTTTCTGTACATTTAAACTTTAATCTCACTAATGCTGTGATTTCTTTATTTCATTTTTTACCAACAATGGCCTGAATACAAGTCCTCAAATGGGATGTCAAAAGAGACGTAAAGGTGTAAGCAGTTTATTTAATTTAAAGTGGACCTATCATGCTATATTTGAATAATATAGTGTAGGACCATACCTATATAAGGCATATTTATACTTTTTTACCAAACAGATCATGCATTTTAGCCTTGCCTCATTTTGCTCAATTTCTAGCTCTGTTTTAGCAAGGGCAGATTCAGTGAGAACAGCACCATCTACAGGCCTGGCATATGTACTACAGCGTCTCCAGCGCTTTCGAACGGCAATGGCCGTGGCTGTCTCCTCCTGATTGGTGGAGTTGGCCCAATAGCCGTAGCGCCACCGTCCTGACGTCAGGACAGTGTTCAAATCTGGATCAGTTTTTATCAGATCCGTTGCAGCCCCTTTTTTAGAGATTTGGGTATGGAGGAAAATAGAGAGGGTTGTGTTTTCTGACACTTGGTGAGTTCCCTGGAACACCGGGGACACATATTCATGTAGAAAAGACGTACAAAAGTGCATCTTGCATGATAGGTCCTCTTTAAAGCAGATAAAAAGGTCCAGAGTTTCAGTGTTGCAGTTAAATCACACCAACAAAAAAAGCAGAAAAAGAGAATTATGCAAACAATAAAATAAATAAAACAGAGTGAAATAAATAGGATTTAAATAAATAAAAATAGAGACTATAACGTTAGGACTGTGCAAAACATTAATACACAATATACCTGTTATTTAGACTAATGTACTTTATTCTACAGTTTGAGTGCTATTAGTCAAACAGGTAGACCTTACACCTGTGATAAGAGCTTTCTCTCTTTTTTTAACAAGGGCTAAATGTGTTAGAAATAAAAAAAACATTATTCTAATCAACTATAGGTTTATTTTTTCAATATCAAAAAGCAACGAAAGGCTTTAATCATTAAGAAGTGCAGCTTATTAAGTCAAGATTAAGTAACGGAGGTGTTTCCTCGTTATTTTACTTTCATTAAAACATCCTCAAAGTGTCTTTAAGGATTTTATTTTCGTATAAACCTAAAAGTTGCCCGTACTTCTAAAACAGTATGGGTGCAGTTCCACCTTCTACCTCTAGGTGGAGACACTTACACATCATTTTTTCCTGTCGTCTTCGTCTCCTCATATTTTAACATTTGTATTTGCCTTATGGAAGCACACACTCCAGCAGGATGTATATCAGTGTGATCAGTACTGTTGAAGAGTTATTGATCAGCTGCAGCACATTACATAGCAAACAACAGCAAGAGCCACTCAGAGAAGGTTCCTCGTGTCTCTTTTTCATATTTTGCATCATTTTTAGAAATGTAACCTATACTTGTGATTTCTTTCTTCTGTATTTCGTTGTTTTGCAATCATTTAATATACATGTAGCATATCTTAGGATCATTACATGTGTCAAACTGTGCTTAGTGAATAAGTCAGAGGTTAGCTCAGGTTAAGAAACATTATTCTAAAGTGAAGTCGTAGCCTTTTAGCATTAAAGTAGCGACAGTATTAGCACTGCAGGATATTCACAGAGCTTCGGAGACTAATATCAGATCGTAGAAGTAATCTAAATCTCATTTTAAAGCTGTGATTAAAGATGTTTGGATCAAAAGATAAATATTAGGAATCATCCAATGACCCGCTGCGATATTAAGCATTTTAATGATAAGAAAAAGTGTTTTTTTTTAATACAATTGCCGCCCAGAACAATTAAAACACTTTACTTTGGCTGTGAAAAAACTTTGCAGGGACTCGATACGAGAACACAGTGTGTGTGTGTGTGTGTGTGTGTGTGTGTGTGTGTGTGTGTGTGTGTGTGTGTGTGTGTGTGTGTGTGTGTGTGTGTGTGTGTGTGTGTGTGGTGGTGCTGATTTAAACTGGACCTGATGTCATTATAAACCATGTGAGACCTCACTATGTTTGTTAAAATGCTGTCTTGTTATTATAATACAAAACATTTCCTGTAACTCAGATCAACGCTGCGTCTCTTTGAGAATCTGCTGCTGTATCAATGTCTGAACAATTAAATAAAGTTATGTGATCAGCTTCGTCTGTGAGTTTCAGTGTGTTCTATGTTAGTGCATGTAAATGGTCTCAAAGCCTAAGGCGTTGTGCACACGGGAACGTTTGCGTTTATGCACAGTATGCGCTTTCAAAAAAGTCTTCCGTTCACATGCATTCGTTTAATTTAACGTGTCTGTTCAAACGAGGCCGCTGGAAACGCTGTAGTACATATGCCGGGACTGTAAGTGGCGCTGTAACTTCCGCCAAAATACACCAAAAGCAGCGAAGAAGACTCCGGAGCAGCCCTGCAGCAATGTTGCCATGGCTACCCTTCTGTTTATGCCCCGCGGTGGATTTAGCAACATGTAGTTCATGTAATTCTCCATGTCCACTTGTTGCTGATGGTTGTGGTAGAGGAGCTGTAGATTTTACACTAATATCTGTAGCATGGTCAGTAGCAGTAGCACTAGCAGTAGCTACTGACAGGAGGAAGTGTGTGGCGATTGCTGGTATTCAGCGGGATATAGTCATTTCCTCAGCATATGGATAAATGCAACGGGGAAGTTAACTGAAAGAAACCGAATCTGTGGATATTGCATCGACCGACCAAGAAGCACGTCTCTGTGGAGAGGACGGCTCAGAAAGAGAGATATTCTCTACAAACACCGGGTGAGATCGCTCCTCTGGGACACGCCGGTCCTCTGCCTACAAACATTTCTCTTTTTGCCGCTGACGGGCGCAGGAGCAATGAACAACAATGGCCTGGATTAGGCAGTAAAGACAAGTTTGGTGTATCGCAGAGCGGACTGTTTAATTTTGTTTGTGTTGTTTGGCTGGAAAATTGTCAATATAATGGATCAATGCATGAAATCTGACTCTGTTTATTTTGTTTAAGGAGTATATTGGGCGTTAACAATTCTCGTTTGCCTTTTATAATATTATTTCATTCAAGAACCCCTTGTGCGTTTAATTAACACAGCTATTTTTGATAGTTGATCGTTACAGATGGCTACTGGCCATGCTGCAGCAGTGAGCAGGAGAGGCGGGGCTATCGTTATTTTTTCAGGAAATATTCGTATAGAGGCGATTCCACGGACTCGTTTGACCCCCCAGAGAGTTTCGTTTGCAAATCTATCCACCTTGGGACCCGTTATCGTTTGTGGGGTCCGTTTCTATCGGCCTCGTGTAAATAATAGGGCTATACGCAAGAGAAACTATGCAGATACAAGCCGTTTCGTCCTCGTGTAAACGGCGCCTAAAATCCCTTCAGAGGGGGTTTCTCCCAGTGCCTGACACGCCTCCATTGAACTCTTTTGTTTACTTCCGGGAGTAGTGACATCACTTTGTAACACTTGCGCTTCTATTGGCTACCGCTCCAACACATTGTACGTGATAGGCTAAGGGGCGGGACATCTCTAAGCAGGTTACTCAATCACAACAGAGCCGGTCAGCTAACCAATCAGAGCAGACTGGGCTCTGGTTTCAGACAGAGGGTGAAAAGAGGTGCTGCAGCACAGGCAGTAGGAGGAAAGTCACGTACAATGTGTTGGAGCGCTAGCCAAGAGGAGCGTGAGTGTTACAGAGTGATGTCACTATGTTCCTGAAGTAAACAAAGAAGTTGAATGGACATTTTTCAGGCAGGACACTCAGGGATTTGAGCCTTTGCAGACCATTTACATGCACTAACACCAATAGAAAACACTACGGGGGGAAGGGGGGGCACCAGGAAATTGTTGTGGAGAAGAAAGAAGCCGAAGCGTCTTCAGACAGAATCAGTTCATTTATAAAGTGTGTTACATCGCTGTTTGTTTACCCTGCTGATGGGTTGAGGGTCATCTCGTTGTTGTTGTTGGGGGGGTCTCAAAGTGATGTCACTAAGTAAACAAAGGAGTCAAATGGACGTTTTGAGGCAGGAAACTCGTGTTACGTGCACCAATAGAAAACACACCAGGAAATTGTTGGGGTGAAGAAAGAAGCCGGAGCTTTATTTACAACGTGTGTTACATGGCTTTGTGTTACATTGCTGTTTGTTTAACCTGCTGATGGTTTGAGGGTAATCTCAGACGTTGTTGTTGTTATTGGGGGTGCTCTCGGACGTTGTTGTTGTTGTTTGGGGGTCTCAGTGTACTCGATCCCAGTCGTCCCTGATGCCCTGGATCCACTGGTTGTAATTGGACACCTTGGTGTAGATGCCCAGTTTATCCTGGCGTCCGCAGCCCTCTCCCCAGGACACGAGGCCCAGCAGGAACCACGTGTCCCGGTACAGCGTCACCATGGGACCCCCGCTGTCCCCCTCACAGGCGTCCTGCCTCTGGCCCAGGACCCCCGCACACAGCATGTTCTCCGTGATCATATTGTTCATATGACGGACGCACAGGTCTCGCTCCACCAGCGGGATATTGATGACGTTGAGCGCGGAGCTGAAGGTGCTGCTGTTCATCTCCTCCTTCCCCCAGCCGCTCACTACGGTCGGGGTGCTGTTCAGGTGGAGCACTCGCTCGGCCAGGTCGCTGGAAGGAAGGCAGGCGGGGACGATGAACGCTGAGAAAGGAGCGGGTGTTTCGAGGCGCAGGAGGGCGATGTCGTTGTCAGCCGTGCGGGTGTTGTAGTTCGGGTGTTTGAAGTACTCCAACACCTTCATGTTCACCTCGGTGCCCTCGATCCTGTGGCGCTCGTAGTCTCCTGAGAGGGGGAGTTACAGGTTCATTAAAGGTGAGTTGCAGTTAAGTTGAAGGTGATTTACAGCAGTATTTTACTTTTAGTTTCACTGGAAGGTTAAATCTGGTCATGCTAAACTGAGATAGTTCGTTTTTAAAGGATCTGTAAAAACCCTGTTTTCTCTAGATGCAAGCCTCCTCACTGTAGTAAATCTCAAAGGTAATTCCCTTAAATCTCTCGCTTGTACAGGTGTGTCCTGCATGTTTCTTCAGATACCTGCTGAGGCACATTCAGTAATAACGTTTAGATCCTCTCACCGAGTCTCACTCTGAAGCGCAGGCTGTTCTTGAGGCAATGCGCCGCCGTCAGCACCCAACTCTCAGCGATCAGGACGCCCCCGCCGGCGAACTGACCCCTAGCGGTCATCAGCAGCACCTGAACACACACACACACACACACACACACACACACACACACACACACACACACACACACACACACACACACACACACACACACACACACACACACAAACAAACACACTGCTGTAACAAACTCACATTTAAAAACCTTTTAAAGAAACTTGAAGATGGTTTAAAATATCTTCCTATTTCATATCATACAATATATCATATTTCTGAGTTACAGTACAGGTGATTTACAGGTGAGTTGCAGGGAGATTGCGGGTTAATCTGAAATTAGTCGCAGGTAAATTGAAGGTTGAGTTGAAGGTTAATTAAAGGTGAATTGAGGGTTAATTGCAGGTGAGTTGCAGTTTAGTTGAAGGTGATTTAGAGGCAGGGGCGGATCTACCGGGGTGGCATGGGGTGGCAACTGCCACCCTAAAAATAGGCCGTGCCACCCCAGCTGCCACCCCAGTTGGCAGCTTTGTTTTGAAAGAAAAGTTGTGGCTCATCGGACATTTATGAGAGAAAGTCTCTAATGTCCGAGTGCAAGTGAATGCAGCACAAGACGCACGTCTTGTAACCCCTCCCCCGGCCCTGGCGCGAGCGTGGAAATATGATTGGCGCCGATTTCATTTGAACGGGACGGCGCAAAACGAGAAGCATTCGGACCCAAGTACTGAAGGAATGAGGTATTTGCGGTCTACAATGACAGAGAAGAGACTGTCAAGTTTGGCTGTACTCAGCATTGAATCAAAACGCACTAAAGCTTTAGATCTTAATACGTTTGTGAGGCGTTTTGCTGAACAAGATGGTAATCGCCGCATTCAGCTGTTATAGACATGTCAACTTGATGCTCTGCTCACGGATGACTCGATGAGCATAACAAACTGTTAAGATGATGACCTTACGTGTGTAAATATATTTTTTCTTTGTGGGGGTCTGCCCCCAAAAAACAGTTTCAAGTCCTGAGAAAGTCAAATACAGATGGAGCATCTTATTTCAGACAGTTTGAAACGCGAGGGTCGTGATTGGTCTGTGATTGGTCCGTGATCGGCCCGTGATCGGTTCGTGATGAAGAGCCGGCCCCCAGTCTGACTTGATACCGCCCCCGTGATAAATACATTTAATTATTGTGAAGCCAGCTGCAATGGATCATTGATCCACCAGGGGGTGCAGTGGGGTTCCACACTGGAGCTCATGTGAAATCAACTTCGATACAGTAAACTGGATGTTGTGGTGCCGAGAGACGGGAGTCGGAGGCGGGGTATCAAAAGTACAAGCTAAACTTTTATTTAGCATCTGAACACACATGTAAACAACTTCATGCCCGGGAAGCGAAGACCGGCGGAAACAGCTGGTCTGGTTCACTAAAATGTCCGTGCGGAACAATACCCCAACCCATAGATCCGTGGGTGAATAATGTCAATCACCACAATGTACAGTATGTCTGGTACTACTGTATAGCGGATCTTTGTTAAGATCCATATGTCACGGATAGGATCATAGTCTGTGCTAAATAAGACATGTAATCATTTACAAAACATCACCATGTTGTTATTTAACAAAATAATGTTGTTTAGTCGAAAAAAACGAACGAGAGGAAATGCAGCCGGCTCTCGATTTTTAATCCTAATTTAATCATCATCTTCACCACGATCATTTATGTTTATGTTCGCCGAATTGACATGAAATCACTGACAAATATGAATATACTGTATTCAACTTCATTAAAATGTTATTAACGTGCCTAAACTCAGTAATTCACTAAAAATATTTATATTTTAATGGAGCCTTGTCAGGCAGATCTTGATCCCTGGGTGTTATTTTTCCCCATAATGACCAAGTCGCTGCAAATTATCCCGCTTATTACATGGCCACATTCTCAACAAAGTAACGACATGACTCCCAATATTAATTGAAATGCTTTTATGGATTTAGAAAATGTTTTTATTGATTTAAAAAATAGTTGTATGTATTGATTTAAATTGACATGCATCCGCCAAGAAAAATAGTCCGTTGTTACCGTTTTTTAAACAGAATGAAACGGCAGCTCTCAGCTGTGTGTTTACACACCTAATGGCCCATCACCCACAGCTCTCTCTCCCCCCTGATCTTTCTTTTCCAACAGTTAATTTAACTGTAGGTTACTCTGAGTGACAAGCTTACAGTTAGTGAAGTAACACTTTTTTTTTGTGAGTCACGACCTGGCTGTTTCATTCTAACATAACGCTCCAAATATGACTGTTTCCAGTCGGACTTCAATACAGCAACACCATTGTTTGGTTTCCATGGTAGCGTGTCTCTTTAGTAGCGTGCACTCCTTTCCTGTAAATGATACTCTTTGTTTAAAACTAATTGGCCATCGGAATGTGTGTGTCCCAACCCCCCCCCTGTGATATCTCTTCTCCAGCAGTCTGTAGGTTTGTATTCGCATATTTATGCTGTCGCAGTTCCCGTTGTTTCTATCGCGCATTGCCGGTATGAAAGGGTCTGTGCCGGAAATATCAAGATAACACGGCAGGGTCCGTTACAGTTTGTTTTCATCTGCTTTCAAATAAACAAAGTCTTGCCTTTCAGAATATTAAACTTGTTTCGGCAAATGTAGATGATAAATACAACTATGAAGCTTGTAACGGCATAATTACTTAAGCGGAGAACGGAGTAATTTAACGTTACAGCAGGCATAACAACAGCCGGTGTTTATTTTATTATTATATATAGTCGTTATTCATTTGTTTTAAAGCTCAATAAGGAAGATTTAAACTTTCACACACAGCTTTTTCCAGCGGTATCCATAAATCTCTTAATTTTGACCTCAAAGTGCACCAGATTGATGCATTTAACTTCAATATAAAGAAAAACATCTTCTGTTGTAACAACAATAACATTATAAATAGTAACATAGCTGAACATGACTGAGGCTTTTTAACATAGACTTTTCCAATGTCTGAGTGTAATATCTGCATTTTCTATTTTGGTTTGATAAGGACACATCCTGGGGATTGTGTTTACAAACATTGACCATACCGTTCACCATCTCCCACCCCCCTACTGTATGTTGATTTTGTTTGCCTACATGTAAATGGGTGGCATTTAGTACCTACCCCCCTCTGAGTGAATACCTGTTGTACCTGTCCGGGGCTAAGCCCATAGGACGATGCTCCGATGTCAACCCCCCCCCGTTGACAATTCACGAGCGTCTAACTCTCTCCCCCCTCCCCCGTCGCACCTTCTAACAGAGCCCCCCCACATATCAAATATAAAATATCAGTAATTACTTGTCTTTCAAATTTGAAGGAGGGTGAGCAAGCATCTTGAGGAACATTCATCATTAACTCCTCCAAAAAATATAGTTTATTCAATAATAACACTGGATATGTGAATCATAACAGTGATTGACAGCTGATAAGAACAATATGAATGTTAATATTATCATATTAATTTAGACAAACATCGATGAGACAGTTACCCCTCAGATGCATAAGTGGGTCTTTTTGGACCCGGTGAGGTGGTTTTCTTGAAGTATCTTTGTAATTACATGTTTTTATCATTTCATATTCCAGCTATTCCTCAAAAAACATGTTTTGGATATCATGCCATTCACATTTTAAATTTACATTTTAAGAAATTGTAGTTTTTGTATTTCTACCCCAAGCTTCCATAAGTGGGTCAAAAATGACCCGCATGCATTTCCTATGGGATCCTTTGGGAACCTTTGATTCTTATCACCTGTTGCTGTCAGGAATACATTCACTGTAGGACACACAGACTACATCACAAGTGACAACTCTCAGGAAGATTATTTTACACAGCAAGATCTGATACCTGTCAGTATAATAATAATAATAATACATTATATTTGTATAGGGCTTTACAAGGACTCAAAATATCGCTTTACAATATAAGGGAAGGTTAGGGTGGGGGGTATAGGAATAGGACTATCAAACTTGATCAACCGGCATGGATTGATGGGGGGGCGGGGCTATGAGTAGACAAGAGGAGAAGAGATGAGTTTTGAAAAGGGACTGGAATACTGTGAGGGTCTCAGAATAGCGGAGATCTTTGCATCAATATGTTCAAAACGTTTTTTTTCAAAATGTAATTTTTTTTTCTAAAATGATAAATTGTGAAAAATTAAATATAAAATATTTCTAATGTGAACCAAAATATAATACTAAATATTATACAAGTGATTTTTCTTAACCGAAATGACAAAAATGGCATAAAAACATATATTATTCTAATACGGGTCCTTTTAGACCCACTTATGGAAGAGTGTAGGGTCCAGTCACTCGTGCATCTAAGGGTTCATTAATGTACTTATTGCAGCAGTATTTGGTACCCCTGCTGGTCTAAGAGTGAAACAAACTCATTCAGTTATTGTTCAGTTAAAATTCATTAAATGATGTCTGCCACCTTATATATTTATGTGTAAGGCTTTACTGATGTGCCACAATAATGTCACCTATGTTATTGAGTTAAAATATTAATATTGTGGCTTTCCAAGTTAACATTGATTGATATGACTGCGATTAAATCGGCATATACTTCTGCCAGGGGATGCCATCCCTCAAAATCTCCTGCCACTCCATGAATATTTTTCTAGATCCGCCCCTGTTTACAGGTGAGTTGCAGGTTGATTGAAAGTGAGTTGCAGTTTGGTTGAAGGCTAATTGCTGGTCATTTGAAGCTGGGCTGCAGGTGACTTGCAGGTGAGTTCCCCAGCCAGTCAGCAGTTGAGCAGTAGCCACAGGTGAAGTGAGTTACCTGCCAGGGACTCTCCCCCTTCTTCCCCACCTCCCCCCCCACCATCCAGGGCAGCAGGCCGTCCATCGGCTTGGTGTACGACGACCTGCTGATCAGCAGCTGACCGCAGGAGGAGGAACCTGCTCAGAGAGAGGGGATTACAGACGATACACCTGAGTGAAGGTGAGAGCATGGTGTTGTTGGGAATATACTGAATGAACTCTTCCAGTATCAGAGTAACGTGATAACAAAGGTATCCCAACTGTAGCTGTGAACATGACAGGATGTATGATTACCTAGAAGAACATCAGGACTGTTTGAGGCATATGATAGCTATGTGATTAACATGATGATTCAGCCTCTATGGAGATAGACATATGACAAGCATGCTCATTTCTGACGTGGAGCTAATCTGAAGTAAACATTGAATACTGCTTTCTGTTCCTCCATCTTGTGACTGTGTAACTCCCTCTCTTGGATATCAGCATGTGAAGGACACTGTTCAGGAACTAGTTGATGCTCTGTATGTGATGACTCCTTCCATTCTGGAGAGGATCACAGATACATGGATCCTGAGATTCAAGCTGGGACCAGTGAGATTTTTCTAACAGGTGTGTAAATGTATGATCAGTCCTCCTCACCGATTGGGCTGCACTTCTTGGAGTCGTCGTGCAGTTTGTATCCGCTCACGCAGCTGCAGCTCCTGCTCAGGCTGTCTTTGCTCTCCGAACACGAGTGATCACAGCCGCCGTTATCCACGGAGCAGTTAGTGGCCGTCTGAGCTGCACAGAAACACACCTCAGTGCACACCTCAGTACACACCTGAGTACACACCTCAGTACACACCTCAGTACACACCTCAGTACACACCTCAGTACACACCTCAGTGCACACCTCAGTACACACCTCAGTACACACATCTCAGTGCACACCTCAGTACACACCTCAGTACACACCTCAGTACACACACCTCAGTACACACCTCAGTACACACCTCAGTGCACACCTCAGTACACACCTCAGTACACACACATCAGTACACACCTCAGTGCACACCTCAGTACACACATCAGTACACACCTCAGTGCACACCTCAGTACACACCTCAGTACACACACCTCAGTACACACCTCAGTACACACCTCAGTACACACCTCAGTACACACACCTCAGTACACACCTCAGTACACACCTCAGTACACACCTCAGTACACACACCTCAGTACACACACCTCATTACACACCTCATTACACACCTCAGTACACACCTCAGTACACACCTCAGTACACACCTCAGTGCACACCTCAGTACACACCTCAGTACACACACATCAGTACACACCTCAGTGCACACCTCAGTACACACATCAGTACACACCTCAGTGCACACCTCAGCACACACCTCAGTACACACACCTCAGTACACACCTCAGTACACACCTCAGTACACACCTCAGTACACACACCTCAGCACACACCTCAGTACACACCTCAGTACACACCTCAGTACACACACCTCAGTACACACACCTCATTACACACCTCATTACACACCTCAGTACACACCTCAGTACACACCTCAGTACACACACCTCAGTGCACACCTCAGTACACACCTCATTACACACCTCATTACACACCTCAGTGCACACACCTCAGTACACACCTCAGTACACACCTCATTACACACCTCATTACACACCTCAGTACACACCTCAGTACACACACCTCAGTACACACCTCAGTACACACACCTCATTACACACCTCAGGACACACCTCAGTACACACCTCAGTACACACACCTCAGTACACACCTCAGTACACACCTCAGTACACACCTCAGTACACACCTCAGTACACACACCTCAGTACACACCTCAGTACACACCTCAGTACACACCTCAGTGCACACCTCAGTGCACACCTCAGGACACACCTCAGTACACACCTCAGTACACACACCTCAGTGCACACCTCAGTGCACACACCTCAGTGCACACCTCAGTACACACCTCAGTACACACCTCAGTACACACCTCAGTACACACCTCATTACACACCTCATTACACACCTCAGTACACACCTCAGTACACACCTCAGTACACACCTCAGTACACACACCTCAGTACACACACCTCAGTACACACCTCAGTACACACACCTCATTACACACCTCAGTACACACCTCAGTACACACCTCAGTACACACCTCAGTGCACACCTCAGTACACACCTCAGTACACACCTCAGTACACACCTCAGTACACACCTCAGTACACACCTCAGTACACACCTCAGTGCACACCTCAGTACACACACCTCAGTGCACACCTCAGTACACACCTCATTACACACCTCAGTACACACCTCAGTACACACCTCAGTACACACACCTCAGTACACACCTCAGTACACACCTCAGTACACACCTCAGTACACACCTCAGTGCACACCTCAGGACACACCTCAGTACACACCTCAGTACACACACCTCAGTACACACCTCAGTACACACCTCAGTACACACCTCAGTACACACACCTCAGTACACACCTCAGTACACACCTCAGTACACACCTCAGTACACACCTCAGTACACACACACTCACATGCACATCATGGGAACAACATCTTGTCTTTTTGAATACTGTAAATCCTGCACATGTTGACCATTTCTGCTTCACATGACCTCGCTCTAAATCTGCACAGCTCTGCACTTTGAATGTAGTATTCATCATATTTTAATATATTTTTTATTTCTGTGTCTTTGTAAAGGGATTTGATGAGTTGTGGGTGAGTTGCAGGTTAATTAAAGGTGAGTCTAATTGAAGGTGGGTTGAAGTTAAATTGCAGGTTAGCTGTAGGTGAGTTGTAATCACTTATATAGTATATTGTAGTTTTCGTATTTTATTATTATGAATGATTATGTTTTCAGATCATGACTCACGCTGGTTGCAGTATTTGCCCTCGTATCCGGGCTCACAGCGGCAGGCGTAGTCCTGGTACTGGTCAACACACACTCCTTTCACACACATGTGGGACTGGCACTGGTTCCCATCTGAAAACACACACACGTCAATACATTTCCCACAATGCCGTGCAGCAGGCCGCTCAGAGACAAAGGAGAAACTCTGAATAAAAAACACAAAACACGTGTTTAGCCATATACGTTTTTCTGCTCACTTCATAAGGTTTAACCCAAACGATATAAGGACCCACTCACTGAAAAGGAGATGTTTAATATTTAATTATTACATAGTTTAAACTTAACTTAAGAGCAGCCAAGCCAATGCTAACTGTACATATCATAAAATGACTTCTTCTATATATCCTTTAATAAGAGCTAAATATAAAAAAAATAAAACCTGCTAATTATAGACTTGTTTAAACAGGTTCAAAGGTTCTTACCAGTGTACACTGTCCAGAACTCCAGCTGTGAACACACAAATAAAAAGTCTCAGATGAATGCAAGACACGTAAAGGAGCTGCTTAATCGCACTGATCAATCATCAATCAATCAAAGTTTATTTATAAAGCCCAATATCACACATTCTATAGTTGTCTCAGTGGACTTTACAGTTTGTACAGAATATCAATACGACCCCCTCAGGATACTCTGATTGGTTAGCTGGCCGTCTCTGTTGTGATTGGTCAACCGCTTAGAGATGTCCCGCCCCTTAGCCTATCACGTACAATGTGCTAGAGCGCTAGCCAATAGGAGCGTGAGTTCTCCATAGTGATGTCACTATGTTCCGGAAGTAAACAAAGGAGTCCAATGGAGGCGTTTCAGTGTTTTGGAGCGAATAAGGCCTCTTCAAAGTTTTGCGGGAGGAATAAAATGTTTAAAGTTCTAATCCTAACCCTACATCAACATGTGTCCCCTCTGTGTGTGGCGCAGTGGATAGAGCCTTGGTATGGGGATCAGATGGTCACAGGTTCAAACCCCACTGCAGTCAGCATGTCGATGTGTCCCTGAGACACTTCACCCCAAATTGCTCCTGTGGGGATTGCCCTGTATTGAGTATGTAAGTCGCTTTGGATAAAAGTATCTAACAAGTGACATGTAATGTAAAGAGACATCAACATGTGTCTCTTCTTCATCAACATGTGTCTCTTCTTCATCAACATGTGTCCCCTCTTCTTCATGTCTCTTCTATATCAACATGTGTCCCCTCTTCTTCATGTCTCCTCTACATCAACATGTGTCCCCTCTTCTTCATGTCTCTTCTTCATCAACATGTGTCCCCTCTTCTTCCTGTCTCTTCTTCATCAACATGTGTCCCCTCTTCTTCCTGTCTCTTCTACATCAACATGTGTCCCCTCTTCTTCATGTCTCTTCTTCATCAACATGTGTCCCCTCTTCTTCCTGTCTCTTCTACATCAACATGTGTCCCCTCTTCTTCATGTCTCTTCTACATCAACATGTGTCCCCTCTTCTTCATGTCTCCTCTACATCAACATGTGTCCCCTCTTCTTCATGTCTCTTCTACATCAACATGTGTCCCCTCTTCTTCATGTCTCTTCTACATCAACATGTGTCCCCTCTTCTTCATGTCTCTTCTTCATCAACATGTGTCCCCTCTTCTTCCTGTCTCTTCTACATCAACATGTGTCCCCTCTTCTTCCTGTCTCTTCTACATCAACATGTGTCCCCTCTTCTTCATGTCTCTTCTACATCAACATGTGTCCCCTCTTCTTCATGTCTCTTCTTCATCAACATGTGTCCCCTCTTCTTCCTGTCTCTTCTACATCAACATGTGTCCCCTCTTCTTCCTGTCTCTTCTACATCAACATGTGTCCCCTCTGTGTAAAGAGACTCAAAGATTCTCTCTCTTTTTGTCCTGATCCATTTCTATAAAAACCTGTCTGAAAATGAGCTGATCAGATTTTGGCCACTTTATGATTTAAAACAATGTTTTGGCTTGTGTAACCATTAGCCAATCAGCAACCAAGGTAACCCCCCCCCCCCCACCTTATCACCTGAATCTCCTCCTAGAGCACCATTGTGTTCTTTTTAACCACATCTCTCTCAGAGGGGCGTGGCCAGCAGCAGCTCATTAGCATTTAAAGCTACAGACACAGAATCAGCACTTTTTAAACAGGGCTGAAACAGAGGGGCATGAGGCATGATCTGTTTGGTATTTGGAGCCAAACACTTCATAGACCTGTTCTGTATATATCTGAGACCTATAATATATTGATGAAAAAGAGTGTAATAGGGGACCTTTAAGATTTATTTGGAACATCTTACCGTCGCTTCCCTGGTCTGGAAAATCTCTCGAGCCTCTTCAAAGTCACACCTCTCCTCCACACACTCGCGCTCCATGGAGGCCGGCTTCAGTTCCTCCAGGAAGGAGTTCGCCCGGCGGGATCTGAGCAGCATGTGGGCGCCGCGGGGCTCCGAGAACACTGAGGGACGAAGAGATAATTTATAACACCTCCAAACCCCCCGACCCCTCCTGTAACACGGAGCCCGTTTCCTACACCATGCTAAATGTGTATGTGTGCATAAAGCTGAGTTATGATCGGTCACAATAACACAGAGTTTGGTGATGATTAAATAGTTTACAGTGAGATTTACTTTTGACCGTACTCGCGCAGCCCTACAAATGAACTGAGATGTCCACACAAATGATCTTCAGCAAGTGTTGATTTAAAAAAGCAATTTGTAGGTTGGATATTTGCAAACCTTTTTTTGTGTATATATTAATAATTTAAGATGTAAATTAATTCCAGTTTCTTTGTAGTACTTTCTATTTTGATTGTGTAATTTGGTGGCATCGTCAAATAATGAGATCCTCAACCTTTATCAATTATAAAGTTATTTGTAATTATTACCTGAGAACTGGGGGTAGTAAGGCAAGGCAAGGCAAGTGTATTTATATAGCACCTTTGAACACAAGGCAATTCAAAGTGCTTTACAAAAATGAAAGACATTCAGAAAATGGCATTTAAAAACAGTCATTAAAAAGCAAAGATAATAAAATGAACATTAAAAGAAAAAATACACGAATAAAAGTTACAGTGCAGTTTAAGATATGAATAGTTCAATTAAAAGCAGCGGCAAAAAGAAAAGTATTCAGCCTGGATTTAAAAGTAAGAGTTGCATCGGACCTGCAGGTTTCTGGGAGTTTGTTCCAGATATTTGGAGCTTAATAACTGAACTTCTCCATGTTTAGTTCTGACTCTGGGGACAGAAAGCTGACCAATCCCTGAAGACCTGAGAGATCTGGATGGTTCATAATTTAGCAGGAGGTCAGACATTTATTTTGGGCCTAAACCTGCTTTATAAACCAGCAGCAGTATTTAGAAATCAATTATTTGAAACACAGGAAGCCAGTGTAAAGATTTCAGAACTGGAGTGATGTGATCCACTCTCTTAGTGTTAGTGAAGAACCAGTGTAAAGACTTCAGAACTGGATTGATCTACTTTCTTAGTGTCAGTGAGGAACCAGTGTAAAGACTTCAGAACTGGACTGATCCACTTTCTTAGTGTCAGTGAGGAACCAGTGTAAAGACTTCAGAACTGGACTGATCCACTTTCTTAGTGTTAGTGAGGAACCAGTGCAAAGACTTCAGAACTGGACTGATCCACTTTCTTAGTGTTAGTGAGGAACCAGTGTAAAGACTTCAGAACTGGACTGATCCACTTTCTTAGTGTTAGTGAGGATCCAGTGTAAAGACTTCAGAACTGGACTGATCCACTTTCTTAGTGTTAGTGAGGAACCAGTGTAAAGACTTCAGAACTGGACTGATCCACTTTCTTAGTGTTAGTGAGGAACCAGTGTAAAGACCTCAGAACTGGACTGATCCACTTTCTTAGTGTTAGTGAGGAACCAGTGTAAAGACTTCAGAACTGGACTGATCCACTTTCTTAGTGTTAGTGAGGAACCAGTGTAAAGACTTCAGAACTGGACTGATCCACTTTCTTAGTGTTAGTGAGGAACCAGTGTAAAGACTTCAGAACTGGACTGATCCACTTTCTTAGTGTTAGTGAGGAACCAGTGTAAAGACCTCAGAACTGGACTGATCCACTTTCTTAGTGTTAGTGAGGAACCAGTGTAAAGACTTCAGAACTGGACTGATCCACTTTCTTAGTGTTAGTGAAGAACCAGTGTAAAGACTTCAGAACTGGACTGATCCACTTTCTTAGTGTTAGTGAGGAACCAGTGTAAAGACCTCAGAACTGGACTGATCCACTTTCTTAGTGTTAGTGAGGAACCAGTGTAAAGACTTCAGAACTGGACTGATTCACTTTCTTAGTGTTAGTGAGGAACCAGTGTAAAGACTTCAGAACTGGACTGATCCACTTTCTTAGTGTTAGTGAGGAACCAGTGTAAAGACTTCAGAACTGGACTGATCCACTTTCTTAGTGTTAGTGAGGAACCAGTGTAAAGACCTCAGAACTGGACTGATCCACTTTCTTAGTGTTATTGAGGAACCAGTGTAAAGACTTCAGAACTGGACTGATCCACTTTCTTAGTGTTAGTGAGGAACCAGTGTAAAGACCTCAGAACTGGACTGATCTACTTTCTTAGTGTTAGTGAGGAACCAGTGTAAAGACTTCAGAACTGGACTGATCCACTTTCTTAGTGTTAGTGAGGAACCAGTGTAAAGACCTCAGAACTGGACTGATCCACTTTCTTAGTGTTAGTGAGGAACCAGTGTAAAGACTTCAGAACTGGACTGATCCACTTTCTTAGTGTTAGTGAGGAACCAGTGTAAAGACCTCAGAACTGGACTGATCCACTTTCTTAGTGTTAGTGAGGAACCAGTGTAAAGACTTCAGAACTGGACTGATCCACTTTCTTAGTGTTAGTGAGGAACCAGTGTAAAGACTTCAGAACTGGACTGATCCACTTTCTTAGTGTTAGTGAAGAACCAGTGTAAAGACTTCAGAACTGGACTGATCCTCTTTCTTAGTGTTAGTGAGGAACCAGTGTAAAGACTTCAGAACTGGACTGATCCACTTTCTTAGTGTTAGTGAGGAACCAGTGTAAAGACTTAAGAACTGGACTGATCCACTTTCTTAGTGTTAGTGAGGAACCAGTGTAAAGACCTCAGAACTGGACTGATCCACTCTCTTAGTGTTAGTGAGGAACCAGTGTAAAGACTTCAGAACTGGACTGATCCACTTTCTTAGTGTTAGTGAGGAACCAGTGTAAAGACTTCAGAACTGGACTGATCCACTGTCTTAGTGTTAGTGAGGAACCAGTGTAAAGACTTCAGAACTGGACTGATCCACTTTCTTAGTGTTAGTGAGGAACCAGTGTAAAGACTTCAGAACTGGACTGATCCACTTTCTTAGTGTTAGTGAGGAACCAGTGTAAAGACCTCAGAACTGGACTGATCCACTTTCTTAGTGTTAGTGAGGAACAAGTGTAAAGACTTCAGAACAGGACTGATCCACTTTCTTAGTGTTAGTGAGGAACCAGTGTAAAGACTTCAGAACTGGACTGATCCACTTTCTTAGTGTTAGTGAGGAACCAGTGTAAAGACTTCAGAACTGGACTGATCCACTTTCTTAGTGTTAGTGAGGAACCAGTGTAAAGACTTCAGAACTGGACTGATCCACTTTCTTAGTGTTAGTGAGGAACCAGTGTAAAGACTTCAGAACTGGACTGATCCACTTTCTTAGTGTTAGTGAGGAACCAATGTAAAGACTTCAGAACAGGGCTGATCCACTTTCTTAGTGTTAGTGAGGAACCAGTGTAAAGACTTCAGAACTGGAGTGATGTGATCCACTTTCTTAGTGTTAGTGCGGAACCAGTGTAAAGACTTCAGAACAAGACTGATCCACTTTCTTAGTGTTAGTGAGGAACCAGTGTAAAGACTTCAGAACTGGACTGATCCACTTTCTTAGTGTTAGTGAGGAACAAGTGTAAAGACTTCAGAACAGGACTGATCCACTTTCTTAGTGTTAGTGAGGAACCAGTGTAAAGACTTCAGAACTGGACTGATCCACTTTCTTAGTGTTAGTGAGGAACCAGTGTAAAGACTTCAGAACTGGACTGATCCACTTTCTTAGTGTTAGTGAGGAACCAGTGTAAAGACTTCAGAACTGGACTGATCCACTTTCTTAGTGTTAGTGAGGAACCAGTGTAAAGACTTCAGAACAGGGCTGATCCACTTTCTTAGTGTTAGTGAGGAACCAGTGTAAAGACTTCAGAACTGGAGTGATGTGATCCACTTTCTTAGTGTTAGTGCGGAACCAGTGTAAAGACTTCAGAACAGGACTGATCCACTTTCTTAGTGTTAGTGAGGAACCAGTGTAAAGACTTCAGAACTGGAGTGATGTGATCCACTTTCTTAGTGTTAGTGAGGAACCAGTGTAAAGACATCAGAACTGGAGTGATGTGATCCACTTTCTTAGTGTTAGTGAGGACTCGAGCAGCAGCGTTCTGAATCAGCTGCAGCTTTCTAATAGATGTTTTAGTGAGACCTGTAAAGACACCATTACAGTAGTCCAGTCTACTGAAGATAAAAGCATGGACAAGTTTTTCCAAATCCTGCTGTGACATTAGTCTTTTAATCCTTGATAGATAGATAGATAGATAGATCGTACTTTATTGATCCCAAATTGGGAAATTGTTTTTGTTACAGCAGCATAAAAGGCATTTTACAATAAAACAAAATATACAAGAATAGAAATAAAATAAAATAAAATATAAAATAAAATATAAAATATACATGTCAAAATAGAAAATAGAAAATATACATACAGATATTATATATATATATATATATATATATATACAAATATATATATATTCAAAATATATGGAATTATGGAGTATTAAATATGAAACAGATTATGTGTGAGTAAAATGTACAAGGTGGTTTTATTTCTAGAGAAACTATGGAGCAGAGAGTTCTCTTCCAGCCAGAGGTGATTTGTTGTACAGTATATATTCAGTATATACAGTATATATTCTTTAGGTGATAGTAGGCTGATTTAGTAACTATTTTAATGTGACTCAGGTCAGAGTCCATGACTACACCTAGATTTCTGGCTTTATCTGTTGTTTTGAACATTGCAGACTGAAGCTCAGCGCTAACTTTTATACGTTCTGCCTTCGCTCCAAAAACCATTACCTCAGTTTTATCTTTGTTTAATTGGAGAAAGTTCTGACACATCCAGTCATTGATTTGTTCATTGCACTTACTCAGTGTTTGAATTGGGGAATAGTCTCCTGGTGAAATTGTTATGTAAATGTGTGTGTCATCCGCATAGCTATGGTAACTTATTTTGTTGTTTATCACTATCTGAGCCAGTGGTAGCATGTAGATGTTAAAAAGAAGAGGCCCCTAGATGGAGCCTTGAGGAACCCCACATGTCATATTTGTCAACTCAGATGTGTATTTACCTATAGAAACAAAGTTGTTTCTGTCCTTTAAGTAGGATTCAAACCCATTTAGAACTGTTTCTGAAAGTCCCACCCAGTTCTCTAGTCAACACATTCTCACTCCCAACTCGGCCTATAGTGACGTTATGTCAGGGTCCCTGTCGTCACTTTCCAACGCAAGGGGGGCCCTTTAGCGTAGAGTTTCAACTATCAGGGAGTCCCATTGACTTGCATAGAGCTCCCTGATAGTTGGTAATAGACGAGTTGGGATCGCGGCGAAATGCTCGCCGCAGATCCATTCTCACAGCGTTTATCAACCTTTTTCTAACTCAATATCAAGCTACACTTATTGTTTTTACTTATTTATTTTAATTGTATAATGTCGGACTTTTGTTGCTGTCAGTTAGCGGGAGAGTAGGGGCTCAGAAAACTGAAATCTGTATTGTTTCATCGTTTTTTCCTTCTAATTTTGTATTGTTTTCTACCACACACTGTTATTTACTCAACAATAACACACAATTATCCTTGTGTTTATTTATTTGTTTGATTGTATAATGTCGGACTTTTGGAGTCTGTCAGGACCGAGGGTCGGAGGAGCTCATTCGAACACAGGAAGCAGTATTTTCAAAATAAGAATTCATTTTAATATTACGTTTGATAACATTATTTTTATTAACTAGACCACTGGGTCATGTTAAGACCATCTTTTCTGTCGGTTTGGTGTTACAAATATTAAAACAATATATGTGTGGACAGTGGCGTTTTTATATGTACAAAAGTGGTGGGGCACAAAAAACGTAGATGTCTATATATAAGCTTCTGCAGTGACGTGCAGTGAGGTTCATGGCTGGTGAGGCACTGGCACTGACCTAAACCAAAATATAATATTATTTTCAAAAGCTTTTTTGTCTGATGCTTTGATTAATTTTAAACAGACAGTTCAACAAAAGGATACCCAAAAAATGTAATTTTATCATTTAAATATTGAATTGTTCTCTCTTAGTAAGATCCCATTTTCAATAAAATTGCGGTCTTACCTTGACTTGAAGATGAAGTCCATTTGCCTATCCTTCTGGACAAAAATCTCCTTATCTTCTCGTAGTTTCAAAAGTCGAATCATAAATCTAATCGATAGTTTTATGATTCGAAAAGTATAAAAGTAGGGTAGACATGTGGATATTATCCGGCTGAACAAAACGTGCATTTATCTAACAGGTACGTTTCCCACAGATCTTATTTCGAGCTATTTTCTAAAATCCTATGGAGAAATCTCATTGCTTTTTTGTCGAGGGAAGCCAGGCACAGCTTACCTCCGGGTTTTAGGACGCGTCACTGCAGCTCTCTCGTCTCCTCTTCACACACTTTTCGCGGCACACGTACTTACAGCCAATCAGCTCTGAATTATGTGAGATGACGTATGGTGGGGATGGCAGCTCAGTGCCCCGATGGTCATTATTTGTTTGCCACACACATTAAATAGGAAAATACGCATGCGCAGTGTAGTTTTTACAGTCACCGTTCACTTAGACAGTGAGAGGGAGGGGCATGATCGGGTTTTGTCCCACATGGCTCTAAACAGCTCAATAGGCACACACTGTAGACACTAATTAGAAGAACACAGACTAAAACAGCAATGTACAGACGAATCAGATGATTAAACATGATCTTAAAATATATTTGGTATATATATATATATTTTTTTTGCATTATTTTGTAATCATTATTTTGAATACTTTCTGCTGACACTAGGTGGGGCTGTGCCTAAGGAGCCTGTGACCTAAGGGGGGGGGGGGATAGTGTTGATTTGGATAGTGTGCCGTCGATGGGTTTCATTCCATTTCAAAGTGCTGTTTGACGCATGTAAACTTCGCGCACTGCCACTCCAACATCCAATCACAGAGCTTGAGAACTAATCACGGGGTTTGTCAAACAAAGCACATGGTGTAGTCCCAAACAATAGCTGGGGATTCTGGGTAGTGTAGTGTCTTCTGCCATCCTAAACTCTGAAAAAATATTTGTTTCTCCGAATCGAAGGGGAAAAATACAAAAGCATTGCACACAATTTAAACCAATCAATGTTGTGTAATTAACAAGGATAATCTGGTGTTTTTGAGTTGATGAGTAGTGCAGATATCACTGTCAAATCAATCGACAGTAAGGGGAATACTTACTTCCGGGTGTACAATTCTCCGTTATCCAATGGGAATGGACGCAATGCCGCCGACACAAACGAATGCCGTGCTTCCATGAGCGTCAAATCCCGCCGCAGATGGGAATACATTGCAATCAGTTGAAAGCTATTTGCGTCCCTTTATGAAGCTGAAGGAGCCTAGGAGCGTCCTGACCAAGCGTCGCTCCTGGATGTTTATGGAGTGAGAGTGTGTTGCCCTGATAGTTGAAACTCGACGCTAAAGGGCCCCCCCTTGCGTTGGAAAGTGACGACAGGGACCCTGACATAACGTCAACATAGGCCGAGTTGGGAGTGAGAATGTGTTGCTCTAGTCGGTCTAGTAATATGTTGTGGTCAACAGTGTCAAACACAGCGCTGAGATCTAATAATACTAACATTGAAGTTCTGCCACTGTCTGTGTTTAAGTGGATGTCATTGAAGACCTTAACAAGAGCAGTCTCAGTGCTGTGGTTTGGACGAAAGCCTGATTAGTACTGTTTCTTGTTTTTGGAAGTGGTGTAAAGTAACTAAGTACATTTACTAATTTGTAAATTAGTAACTTTTAAGGCCTTTTTTTTACAACATTAATTCAGTTATTCCTGAGAATGTTAATAACGTATAATATATATTATAACCTTGGACTGTTTATGATAATAAAACTCACCTGACAGACTGAGAGCCGACGCCAACCACAGGGCGGCGATGACGGACACACAGAGGAGGAGGTGGGACATGACCTCTGAAAAACCTGCAGCACATAACAGAGAAAACAGGTATAGTGCAATATTTACAATAACATTAATTTATTTGGATAAATATTACTTTTACAGCCTGGCTTGTCGGCTGTGGGTGTTTGTGTATTGAAGTAGTTTTGTTTTGGTGTCTTTTGATCGCAATGATCAGGACTACCACTCAGTATGTAGTGTCTCTACTTTAAAGAGTCCTCTCCTGCTGATGTTCAGGTGTATATCAGTATGTAGTATCTCTACTTTAAAGAGTCCTCTCCTGCTGATGTTCAGGTGTATATCAGTATGTAGTGTCTCTACTTTAAAGAGTCCTAACCTGCTGATGTTCAGGTGTATATCAGTATGTAGTGTCTCTACTTTAAAGAGTCCTCTCCTGCTGATGTTCAGGTGTATATCAGTATGTAGTGTCTCTACTTTAAAGAGTCCTCTCCTGCTGATGTTCAGGTGTATATCAGTATGTAGTGTCTCTACTTTAAAGAGTCCTAACCTGCTGATGTTCAGGTGTATATCAGTATGTAGTGTCTCTACTTTAAAGAGTCCTCTCCTGCTGATGTTCAGGTGTATATCAGTATGTAGTGTCTCTACTTTAAAGAGTCCTCTCCTGCTGATGTTCAGGTGTATATCAGTATGTAGTGTCTCTACTTTAAAGAGTCCTCTCCTGCTGATGTTCAGGTGTATATCAGTATGTAGTGTCTCTACTTTAAAGAGTCCTCTCCTGCTGATGTTCAGGTGTATATCAGTATGTAGTGTCTCTACTTTAAAGAGTCCTCTCCTGCTGATGTTCAGGTGTATATCAGTATGTAGTGTCTCTACTTTAAAGAGTCCTCTCCTGCTGATGTTCAGGTGTATATCAGTATGTAGTGTCTCTACTTTAAAGAGTCCTCTCCTGCTGATGTTCAGGTGTATATCAGTATGTAGTGTCTCTACTTTAAAGAGTCCTCTCCTGCTGATGTTCAGGTGTATATCAGTGGGAGAGAGACTCCCTCTGGAGGGAGCACAGGGATTTTAGTCTACAGGCCATTTACATGCACTAAGACCTATAGAACAGTGGTTCTCAACTGGTGGGTCGCGGACCTGTTTCGAGTGGATCGCAGATGTGTGAGTGCAGAAAAAAAAAGGCCCGATTTTCTAACACTGTGCATGCAGTAGGCTTTGGACTGGAAGTACCGGAGACCATAAACCGTTTTGAAAACTTCTGTCACGTAGTGATCATCTTCTCAATAAAACATCTTTGCTGATGTTTTTTTCGAGTCTTCTGGCCAATCAGAATCAAGATTGTTGCCGGAAGTCCCCACAGAGAATAACTTTGCGCTAGAACTATTCTTTATACATCCATGGGTACAACTTCAGATACAAATGAACACATAATGAAATAGGACCCCCGGTTTGATGATCGACAGGTCACAGAACAATGGGAGCTATCTACCCTACCCACAATTCACACCTCCTCTTTGCTCTTCTCTCTGTGAGGAGCAGCAAGCTGTCAGAACAAAGTGAAAAACAAACAATGGCATAAAATATTATTAATATGTCGGGTAGTAATAGATTTATTTATTTTCTTCTCAGAGTGTACCACAATGCGTAGTTTATTTGTTAGTATTTCTAAAAATCTCCTGGGGGAGAATCCCCCCAGACCCCCTTCTGGGGTTGGGTTTTCAGCATGTGTGCCTTTTTATGTTATACAGTTGAGCTTTGATTCCATCATCTCATTAAACCTTTTTTGAAAGCATTCTTTAGTTCTGTGAAGGGATATATGCACTGTACTTCACTTTAATATTGTTTGCTGAAAAGCGTATATATATTACAGCACCATTTTTTGTTGAATAGATTTGAGTCGTTCAAAATTTCGGGTTGCGGTCTATTGACAAAGGAAAAAGTGGGTCCCGAGGCCTGACCAGTTGAGAACCAAAAGCGTAAATACCCCAAAAGGATAATAAGGACCTCTTTAATTCCATACGATCACAATAAAAGCTGTTTATTTCTATTACTGCATTCAATTTGGTAAATATTAAAAACAAACTATCGTCAGTCAAACACTCCTGTGACTGTGAGGCCTCACAGACAGCAGGAACGGACCCTCTGCGACCTTTGACCCTCCCCAACCCACCACCTGAACAACAACAACAACAACGACGGAGGTTGCGGAGTCGAGACGACGACCTCACACCGCCAACGAGACGCAGAAGAAGAGACGAGTGTTTCTGTACTTACGAGTGAAGAAGAGACGCTGCGGACAGCGACGATGGTTCGCTGCGTTTCTGTGATAATGACTAACTGCCTTTGTTTACTGAGAGTCCACAGTCTGCAGCCGTCAACACACACACACACACACACACACACACACGCACACGCACACACACACGCGCACACACACACACACACACACACACACACACACACACACACATACACACACACACACACACACACACACACACACACACACACACACACACACACACACACACACACACAAACAAACCTCCACCCCCTCACCTATGCAAGGGATCAAAAAGTCCAAAACTTTTTTTTTTACACAACGAATGTCCACCAAACTACCTGAAACTGAAATAAGAAGACAAAAATCATAAGAAATTATTCATTGGTTTTGTAGTTCCTAACCTAATATATAATTTAGGGCGATATGTCATACCATAAAACAACAGACATTCAACGCCTCAATGAAAATGTAAGAAAACGGTCACATGACTTCACGTCACCACCGCTAAGCTAAAGGTGGCTAGTGTTGGGCTATAAAGGAACTACAGCAAGGTCACATGACTTAACGCCACCACCGCTAAGCTAAAGGTGGCTAATGTTGGGCTATAAAGGAACTACAGCGCGGTCACATGACGTCACGTCACCACCTCTAAGCTAAAGGTGGCTAATGTTGGGCTATAAAGGAACTACAGCGCGGTCACATGACGTCACGTCACCACCTCTAAGCTAAAGGTGGCTAATGTTGGGCTATAAAGGAACTACAGCACGGTCACATGACGTCACGTCACCACCGCTAAGCTAAAGGAGGCTAATGTTGGGCTATAAAGGAACTACAGCGCGGTCACATGACGTCACGTCACCACCGCTAAGCTAAAGGTGGCTAATGTTGGGCTATAAAGGAACTACAGCGCGGTCACATGACGTCACGTCACCACCTCTAAGCTAAAGGTGGCTAATGTTGGGCTATAAAGGAACTACAGCGCGGTCACATGACGTCACGTCACCACCGCTAAGCTAAAGGTGGCTAATGTTGGGCTATAAAGAAACTACAGCACGTCACATGACGTCACCACCGCTAAGCTAAAGGTGGCTAATGTTGGGCTATAAAGAAACTACAGCACGTCACATGACGTCACCACCGCTAAGCTAAAGGTGGCTAGTGTTGGGCTATAAAGAAACTACAGCACGTCACATGACGTCATGTCACCACCGCTAAGCTAAAGGTGGCTAATGTTGGGCTATAAAGGAACTACAGCATGGTGACATGACTTCACGCCACCACCGCTAAGCTAAAGGTGGCTAATGTTGGGCTATAAAGAAACTACAGCACGTCACATGACGTCACGTCACCACCGCTAAGCTAAAGGTGGCTAATGTTGGGCTATAAAGAAACTACAGCACGTCACATGACTTCACGCCACCACCGCTAAGCTAAAGACGGCTAATGTTGTGCGTGATGGCGTTTAGTCGTAAGCGTATTTTATGTGGTAAAATCAACGTTAAAATCTCTTCAGCTTGTGTAAACCACAGACCTGATTTCAGGCTAACAACCAAAAACACATTCAAAAAACCATTGTTCCAGTTGCCAGTTCTCAGCCCTCCATCATAATAAAACTCACCCCCCCTCGGTCCTTTTCCAAAACGCTTGTTGTCCCCCCCCATGACAGCATCGCCCCTGGAACCAGAGCCGTGTCCTTTATGTGCCCCGGGGGAAAGCTTTTATTCAGAAAAATCAAAACACAGAGAGGACACAAAGGTAAACCGAGCTGGGGGAACGAGGCCGAGGGACAAAAGGAGATGAGGAGATGAATAGTTAACCTTAATTAGTGTCCTGGTTTCCACAGCCAGCGGTGATCCGTTTCACACCTGAATCTTTCACACCTAGCAACACCTTTTCCTCACTTTGTGATGAAGCTGACGGGAAACCTGAGGTCAGCCGAGGCTCGCAGGCAGAGATGGCAAAAGTACACACTTCCTTTACTCAAGTAAAAGTACAGATAATGGTGTTTAAAAATACTCTGGTGAAAGTAGAAGTACTGACTAAACTTCTTTACTCAAGTCAAAGTAAAGAGGGCTTTGAAATGTACTTCAGTAAAAAGTACCCATAACTAGCAGCTGTTTTAAAGAGTACCTGACCTCCCTTTATATTAATAGAACAATAATGTCATTGTTAGCTAATGAATGTTTCCATGCTGAACAACGGCAACATGACAACGTTTTCATTGGTCCCTCTTCTTTAGAGAAGACCAGGAAATGATGGATACACGGATCGTGTTCAAATCAATAGGCACGCAATGACTCTAAATAATAATGATCACGCCACCAAACACACATTCAAACTAAAGGAACCAGCCTGTTTGGGAAATGTGAGAAGTAGAAAGTACAGGTATTTGGGTTCAACATGTAAGAAGTAGAAAGTACAGGTATTTGTGTTCAACATGTAAGAAGTAGAAAGTACAGGTATTTGTGTTCAACATGTAAGAAGTAGAAAGTACAGGTATTTGGGTTCAACATGTAAGAAGTAGAAAGTACAGGTATTTGTGTTCAAAATGTAAGAAGTAGAAAGTACAGGTATTTGTGTTCAACATGTAAGAAGTAGAAAGTACAGGTATTTGAGTTCAACATGTAAGAAGTAGAAAGTACAGGTATTTGTGTTCAAAATGTAAGAAGTAGAAAGTACAGGTATTTGTGTTCAACATGTAAGAAGTAGAAAGTACAGGTATTTGTGTTCAACATGTGAGAAGTAGAAAGTACAGGTATTTGTGTTCAACATGTGAGAAGTAGAAAGTACAGGTATTTGTGTTCAACATGTGAGAAGTAGAAAGTACAGGTATTTGGGTTCAACATGTAAGAAGTAGAAAGTACAGGTATTTGGGTTCAACATGTAAGAAGTAGAAAGTACAGGTATTAGGGTTCAACATGTAAGAAGTAGAAAGTACAGGTATTTGGGTTCAACATGTAAGAAGTAGAAAGTACAGGTATTAGGGTTCAACATGTAAGAAGTAGAAAGTACAGGTATTTGTGTTCAACATGTAAGAAGTAGAAAGTACAGGTATTTGTGTTCAACATGTAAGAAGTAGAAAGTACAGGTATTTGTGTTCAAAATGTAAGAAGTAGAAAGTACAGGTATTTGTGTTCAAAATGTAAGAAGTAGAAAGTACAGGTATTTGTGTTCAACATGTAAGAAGTAGAAAGTACAGGTATTTGTGTTCAACATGTAAGAAGTAGAAAGTACAGGTATTTGGGTTCAACATGTAAGAAGTAGAAAGTACAGGTATTTGTGTTCAACATGTAAGAAGTAGAAAGTACAGGTATTTGTGTTCAACATGTAAGAAGTAGAAAGTACAGGTATTTGTGTTCAACATGTAAGAATTAAAAGTAAAAAGTCGTCAGAAAAATAAGTAGTGGAGTAAAGTACTGATACCAGAAACATGTGCTTAAGTACAGTAACGACGTATTTGTACTCCACTACTTCCCACCTCTGCTCGCAGGACGGCAGCGACTCAAAACAGAGGTTTTAGAGCAAAACACATTTTAGTTCAGGGGACACATTTGATGGTTATTGTTATATATCTTTATTGAACAAGCATCATACATACATTAATCTCAATAAGAGAAGAGATGTCAAAGCTCATTTCCATCTGCAGTTCCTTGGCAGGTACACAATACATCAACAAACACCTCATAAAGCATAACAATTAAAACAGATCAAAATACAGATGTATGAAATATAAATACTAGTACAGTTGTCAATATAAATCCAATTTTACAATTCATTCAAAGTAAAAGTAAAGCTAATGTTGGCTGGACTAGTTCAATGTTTTTATGGCCGTAAAAGATGAAACAGATGCAAAGGCCGGACAGAGGAATCACAGCATAATAACCTGTAAATAACAACAACATGTTTCCCCAAACATTCTGGAAATGTTCACATTTAATGAACTATCTTTTTAGAAAACATTATGAACCACCTGCAAAATAAGTGGAATTTCAACAATGTTATGCCTCAGTTGAAAATGTACACCTGCGTGTTTCTTCTCATGTTTGCAATTAGTATCACTATGATCACGTAAATGATCCCACGAGGAGCTGTAATAATGAAAGTAGGCTGTTCTTTGTGAGCGCTCTGAGGGTTAGATTACTCTACAGCAGTGTGAGAGAGGAGGACAAATAACACATTGCAAAAAATAAATAAAACCTTAACTGTTGTACTGTTTGTGGCAACATTTCCATTATATGTACATTTAAAGGACAATAAAGTTTTCTGAATCTGAATGTATGGATAACTCTGGGAACGCTCAGGTTTTCTTTTGGGATTTGTGAGAAACCTGAAAAAACCAAGTTTGGTTTTAAATGATTGTCTCTCTTTTCCTCCCTGACACTAACAGAACTCAAGAAAAGGACGTTTACATTTCCTTTATTTGCGTAAAAAATCGTACTATTTAAAATCCAAACTGTTTCTGATAAACTATAAACTTTGCAGAGGTTATAGAGTACCCCAAAGTGTAATGATAGAAATATATAGTAGGGTCCCCAGTACATAGAAACTGCCGGATGCTAACCTGCATCTCTTGGGACATTAGCACAATTAGCCAAAGTTGAGTTAATTAGCATTATAGCCAACTGGATGTGGACAATAGTTAAATAATGGACTTGGCCGATTTGGACAGTTTTGGAGTGGTTTTGAGGGTTATTGAGGATGCTGAATCCATTTCTGACATTTTCAGGATCAACAATGTCAGTGGCTGATTTTGATGAATTTTGGGACGATTTGGAAGATTAAGGGGACTCTGGATCACTTGGATTGGACAGGTTGCTTATATATTTGAAAATGAATTGTCCACAGTAAAGGTAATAACTTTCATCTTGTGCTTTCTATATCCAATGGTCTCAACACAGTCAAAATCAGCCCACAGAGAGAACACATACAGTATGGCCCCTTTCTGGTTAAAACTGCCATTTTTTATTCTACTAATGTACTATATGGACTTGGCTATATAGTGGCGTAGGCCGTAGGGACTTGGCTTGGGAACCGGAAGGTCACCGGTTCAAGACTCCGAAAAACAAAGTGCTACCAAGGTGTCCCTGAGCAAGGCACCGTTCCCTACACTGCTCCCCGGGCGCCGTACATATGACAGCCCACTGCTCCTAACACTAGGATGTAAAGGAGATCTTGTTCTTGAGTAAAAGTAGAAGTACTCAGATATTGTACTGTGTGTGTGTGTGTGTGTGTGTGTGTGTGTGTGTGTGTGTGTCCTAACACTAGGAGGGGTCAAATGCAGAATGTACAAAATTAAGGGGTTCCTTCCTTCTTATTCTTCTTCAATACATTTCTAACATAAATCTTTGGGGTACTCGACATTTCCGGGTTCACAGTGCTGGAAACTAGAGTACAAATTCAAGGAGAGAATCCAGTTTCCTGGAGAGAAAGGAGGGTGGAGAAAGATGGAGAGATAAACAGTCTCTTCTTTCGGCTGGGAATATAGTGCTGCAGTTTGCTGGTGAAGGAGGTCACAGGGAGAAGACCCAGTTCTTCTTCCTGGGGACAATACAAAGACACTCCTCGCCCTCCTCATCTTCAGCCTTTTGTCCGGGGTGAAAGGAGTTTTGTTTTGGGCGAGGTTTATAAATGGATCAAAGCTGGATGCTGCTCATCTTCTCAACAATCCTCCGACAGACAGACGATGCTGCGCCACGCCGACCGAGCGGTGAGTGTTCCCCTGACCTCTTATTCTCACGGTCTTTACTTATATTTATCGGGGATAGTGCACATTTATTAACATCGCTGTGAATGTACCAGAGTTCATCTGTAGTTCCTGCACAGCATATTTCAAATAGATATAGTAAAAATAGTTAGAAACAATGAGCAACAGGTGAGGGCAGACAGAAACAGTATGAACCAGATATTCACTTTTATTCATTAATAACAAAAAATGTAATGTAATAAACAGAGGTGGAAGAAGTACTCAGATCTGGTACTTGAGTTAAAGTAGAAGTACTCAGATCTGGTACTTGAGTAAAAGTAGAAGTGCTCAGATCTTGTACTTGAGTTAAAGTAGAAGTGCTCAGATCTTGTACTTGAGTTAAAGTAGAAGTACTCAGATCTGGTACTTGAGTAAAAGTAGAAGTACTCAGATCTGGTACTTGAGTTAAAGTAGAAGTACTCAGATCTGGTACTTGAGTAAAAGTAGAAGTGCTCAGATCTTGTACTTGAGTTAAAGTAGAAGTGCTCAGATCTTGTACTTGAGTTAAAGTAGAAGTACTCAGATCTGGTACTTGAGTTAAAGTAGAAGTACTCAGATCTGGTACTTGAGTTAAAGTAGAAGTACTCAGATCTGGTACTTGAGTAAAAGTAGAAGTGCTCAGATCTTGTACTTGAGTAAAAGTAGAAGTGCTCAGATCTTGTACTTGAGTTAAAGTAGAAGTACTCAGATCTGGTACTTGAGTTAAAGTAGAAGTACTCAGATCTGGTACTTGAGTTAAAGTAGAAGTACTCAGATCTGGTACTTGAGTAAAAGTAGAAGTGCTCAGATCTTGTACTTGAGTTAAAGTAGAAGTGCTCAGATCTTGTACTTGAGTTAAAGTAGAAGTACTCAGATCTTGTACTTGAGTAAAAGTAGAAGTACTCAGATCTTGTACTTGAGTAAAAGTAGAAGTACTCAGTTCTGCAAAATAACTAAAGGGATTAAATACATGTAGTGGAGTAATAGTACACCATTTACCTTTGAACTGTAGTGGAGTAGAAGTACACAATTTACACAATATTTTATATTTTAGCAGAATGAAAACATTTATGTGTGTATTAAAGGTAGGGTAGGTAAGTTTGAGAAACCGGCTCGAGATCGCTAGAATTTGAAAATACACAACTGGAGAAAATCTGCCACTTCCTCACAGAGCCCCTCCTCCAACACACACGAACGCGCACATGACCAATGAGGGCACGAGATAAGTTTGTGCCCCGATGGAAGGCTGACAGGCAGGTAGGCCATCCAGTTACTTTAGCCGGGCCGGCTAAAATGATTGGTCGTGCTTTTTACAGTACTACAGCTTCCACAGATGATATTTCTTTATGTATTTGTTGTCAAAGCACTTCAGATATTCATTGCTATCTGGATGTTAAGAGCATTCCATGGAATATAACAACAAGTGTATCTCGAGCCGGTTTCTCAAACTTACCTACCCCACCTTTAATTATTTTATTTTCACCCTGGAGATGGGTGTATGTATGTATATGTGTACATATGTATGTGTATATATAGAATTTTGTTTATCTGTGTGCGTATATAATTACGAAATTATCTGCATTTTTTCTTTATCCAGAAAAAGCAGCTGGATGACTAACGGGAGGGCGACCTCTGTATAAACTCTGCTTTCTGTCCTCCTGCTTCTACTAATTTAGTTTGTTTTTCGGATGTATAAACTGTCTAATTGTTGAAATAGAAAAATGGTCATGTGACACGTGATAAACAAACCTTCCTCCTGCAGATGTTGTGGAGGCTGCTGGGACTCCTCCTCCTGCCCTCCCTCCACTCAGCCATGTATGTGCATAACGGCAACAACAGTGAACGCCCTCGGCTCCGCATGTTGGACACGGGGGACATGAACATGACGGAGTGGGACTTCGGGACCCCGCACCTTACCATGCCCAACATGACCTACATGCCCCAAGACGCGGTGAATTCCCCCCCCATGCCGGACTCTACGATGTGCTCCATCCTGATGAGCATGCCCGACATACCGCTGGATCAGATCCCTCCGTCCTGCCTGTGCTCCCACTGTAAGGGCATCACGGGGCCCAAAGGGGACCAAGGGGACCGGGGCCTCCCAGGTATGTAGTCCACATTATTCACCTGGTGGTGGAAAACAGGAAGCATGTGAAAACCAGATGTGGGAAGTAGTGGAATACAAATACTTATTTTCTGTACTTAAAGGTCACCTATTATGTAAAATCCACTTTCTCATGTCTCTTCTTCATCAACATGTGTCCCCTCTTCTTCATGTCTCTTCTACATCAACATGTGTCCCCTCTTCTTCATGTCTCTTCTACATCAACATGTGTCCCCTCTTCTTCATGTCTCTTCTACATCAACATGTGTCCCCTCTTCTTCATGTCTCTTCCACATCAACATGTGTCCCCTCTTCTTCATGTCTCTTCTACATCAACATGTGTCCCCTCTTCTTCATGTCTCTTCTTCATCAACATGTGTCCCCTCTTCTTCATGTCTCTTCCACATCAACATATGTCCCCTCTTCTTCATGTCTCTTCTTCATCAACATGTGTCCCCTCTTCTTCATGTCTCTTCTACATCAACATGTGTCCCCTCTTCTTCATGTCTCTTCTTCATCAACATGTGTCCCCTCTTCTTCATGTCTCTTCTTCATCAACATGTGTCCCCTCTTCTTCATGTCTCTTCTACATCAACATGTGTCCCCTCTTCTTCATGTCTCTTCTACATCAACATGTGTCCCCTCTTCTTCATGTCTCTTCTTCATCAACATGTGTCCCCTCTTCTTCATGTCTCTTCCACATCAACATATGTCCCCTCTTCTTCATGTCTCTTCTTCATCAACATGTGTCCCCTCTTCTTCATGTCTCTTCTTCATCAACATGTGTCCCCTCTTCTTCATGTCTCTTCTTCATCAACATGTGTCCCCTCTTCTTCATGTCTCTTCTTCATCAACATGTGTCCCCTCTTCTTCATGTCTCTTCTTCATCAACATGTGTCCCCTCTGTGGAAAGAGACTCTGAAAGTTTCAGGAACAAAGATTCTCTCTCTTTTTGATCCATTTCTATAAAAACCTGTCTGAAAATGAGCTGATCAGATTTTGGCCACTTTATGATGTCATAACGATGTTTTGTCTTGTGTAACCATTAGCCAATCAGCAACCAAGGTAACCCCCCCCCACCTTATCACCTGGTGGCGTGATCATTATTATTTAGAGTCATTGCGTGCCTATTGATTTGAACACGATCCGTGTATCCATCATTTCCTGGTCTTCTCTAAAGAAGAGGGACCAATGAAAACGTTGTCATGTTGCCGTTGTTCAGCATGGAAACATTCATTAGCTAACAATGACATTATTGTTCTATTAATATAAAGGGAGGTCAGGTACTCTTTAAAACAGCTGCTAGTTATGGGTACTTTTTACTTTAGTGCATTTCAAAGCCCTCTTTACTTTGACTTGAGTAAAGAAGTTTAGTCAGTACTTCTACTTTCACCAGAGTATTTTTAAACACGAGTATCTGTACTTCTACTTGAGTAAAGGAAGTGTGTACTTTTAACATCTCTGGTTAGAACTGACAGGAAACAGAATGTCACATCTAGAAATCAAATCAAAGTTTATTTATGCCTCATATCACAAAACACGTTGTAATTGCAATTTACATATTGCACCACAGTGGTGTCGTAGTCTTTGTTCGTTTGTTGTTGTTTCTACATAATTGTACGTTGGTGTTATTACACAGAAGTGGTAATCAGTGGGCTTTACAGATGAACAAACACTGACAACATTGAAACGTTGACTTAAATTAAATGTATTATGTCAACAGGTTTCACATAACTGTATTAGGTTAAATGAAAGCAATAATATTAAGTTTAAATACAAAATATTAGGTTTTAAACTTTGTTCAAGCTAACTACTGTACTTGATTTGCTGATTCAACCAATCAATCAAAGTTTATTTATACAGCCCAATATCACAGGTTTGTCTCGATTTTGGATTTAAAGCTTAACAAAATACAAGGAAAATAAACCCCAGAGTTAATGGGGAGAGAATTGAAGAAACTTGGATGAATCAATCAATTTGATTGCTAAAAGCGTCAAGAAAAATAGTTAAAATTGTTTTGCATTTAACTTCCAAACATCTTTAAGTAAATATTAAGATTCATTCAAGATTCAAAAGTTTTAATGTCATATATAGCTACAGTGTAGAAATGGCAATGAAAATGTTGAGTCCAGAGCTCCTCCAACAATGCAGCGTTGTTATAAAAGACATAAAACAATAAAACAAATTCAAATTGAAATAAGAACAATATATAAATAGTGCAAGAAAAAGTCTATATACACGCAATAATTAATGACTTTGCTTCGATTAAAAAATAAACCAATAGTAGCCATATATTAGGGGTGGGAATCACCAGGCTCCCCACGATACGATACTATCGCAATACTTAAGCCACGATCCGATAGTATTGCGATTCTACGATATGCTAAGTATTGCGATACGATATATTGCGATATTGCAAATCCCATGGGTCATATCCATGTCCGTCTTCCCTTCCTGGTTAAAACATGTATTTGCAATATGAAGAGTTTATGTAAATAACCCAATGTGTGTTTTGTTTTGTTCCGTCGTGTCTTTTCGGCCGTGCCAACACCTCCGCTCCCGATTGAACATGTTGAATCGGGAGCGGAGGCTATCGACAAAATAAATCACTCTGATTGGCTGTTCAGCTTAGCGAATCAGTGCATGAGAAGCTAAACGGAAGTGCTATCTTGCTATCTGCTTCCACAAGCAACAGTCCAAGGGCTGATACCGCCAGTACCGCACTAAAAATGTTTTCGATTATAAGTCGCTATGTGAAACAGTCTGTGATGGACGAGAGTGAAAATGGAACGCACACGCTATTTGTTGTTTGTATATATCACGCAGTCTGTTCTTCCGGTTGCCTCTTTTGAATTAAGAATACACACTACCGCCGCCTGCTGGTAAGGAGAGTTATTGCCACTCACGCATGCGCAGTGCGTACGTGCTACTTGGCCGTCGGCTGAAGTCTTGGCGGTGTGTTCCAGTGCAACTCTTTGGCCAAGACGCAGGAGACGTGAGGCGACACAATAGTCGGGTCCGTCGGGACGTGTTCTTTGGTGTCAGTTTGGTGTCAGTTTGGTGTCAGTTTGGTGTGTAAGGGCCTTAAAATGAATACCTGTGTGTGATCCCTGTCAGGAACTCCTGGGAGTCCCGGGGTGAGAGGGATGACGGGCTTCACCGGGCCGCGAGGATTCACCGGCGTTCAGGGGATCAAGGGTGAGTTCAACATGCAAGACTTCACTTCAAACACACTGGCCTCAGGCGTGTTGTTAGCATGTACAGCTACATGCTAGCTCTCACTCGTCACAATCCTGTGGACACAATAGCACGTTACATTAAGACGTTTAATATGTACCATTTCTGGATTCAACAGCTAGACTGATGCTAAGCTGTGCTTATATTATCCCAAATAATAAAGAGTCCTTATTCTGCTTTTTTGGCTTTTCCCTCTCCTGTAGTGTGTTCTATAGGTTTTAGTGCATGTAAATGGTCTGCAGAGGCTAAAATCCCTGTGTTCCCTCCAGGTTAAAATATAAAATCACCTGCTGGTTACACTGCAAAATGTAAATGTTGATAATAAAATAAGATAATTGGACTCCATGTTTACACATTTTTATCTTTGATTTTACTTTGTAATATTTGTTCTGTCTTTGTCTGTGGTTTCAGGTCAGAAAGGAGACCTGGGGGATAAGGGTCACAGTGGCGGCACCGGACTCCCCGGGATGGAAGGCTCACGAGGCTACAAAGGTCTGCAGAGATCACTGTAAAGATTATGCTAAATGGAAGTCATGACTTGACTGAAATAAAATATAACGGTTTTATGATCTGACACTGCAATAGGAAACCATGTCAGGTTTACAAACAGGGGGTACAGGACCTTCAGATCTACAGGTTCATTGACTATAGAGTCATCCGGACAGAGGTTAGACAGCTAATGTTATGCTAACAAAACAGCGTAATTAATCTTCCAGTACATGTACATATACTGGAAGTAGATGACGTCACATTTCCATTTAGCTATAGCTAAACTTTGGTTGGGTTCACAAATACATTTCTAAATGTAATTCATATTAGGGCTGCACATTATTCTACATTTGTGTTGTGTAGCTGCAGAGAGGTCTATATATATATATATACTCAATTACATCATGTTAATGTACATTTTGTTTCATGATCATACCATCTTCCATATTCCATATTTCGCAAATCATATCTTAATTGCAATTAGTTATTTGTCCCCTAAAAGAGCAGCCCTAATGTGTCCTTATTGTGTCTCTAGGAGACAAAGGGGACTTCGGATCTGAAGGCCTCCCAGGACCCCTGGGACCTCAGGGAGAAGACGGTATTTGTCCCGCATCCTGTGAAAGTGTGCCAGGTCCGCCAGGTCTACAAGGCTCCTCAGGACCAGCCGGAGCTCGAGGTCTTCCTGGGGTCCAGGGACCGATGGGACAGAAAGGTATGAAGGGCCCTAAGGGGGACCTGGGAACCCCTGGAAACCCTGGCATGGATGGCCTGAAGGGGGATCAAGGTGAGCAGGGGATGTGTAACTGCACCGATGGGATAAACGGCACAAATGGACTTCCAGGAGATCAAGGGTTCAATGGGGAGAACGGGGATGATGGTGCCCAGGGTGACAAAGGCTCCATGGGGCTTAAGGGCAACAAGGGCGACCTGGGTGTGAGGGGGGTCCCCGGGCCATGTTCAACGCCCATTAAATCTGCATTCTCCGCCGCTCTGGACATCTCCTTTCCTGCTGCAAACTGGCCCATTCCTTTCACTCGAGTCATCCTCAACCAGCAGGGCCACTTCAACCCAGAGATGGGAATGTACACGGCGCCCGTCAACGGCACCTTTGTCTTCAGCTTCCACTTGGCCATCGCCGGGAAGGCCGCCATTGTCGGCTTGTACAAAAATTTTGAACGCATGGCCATGGCGACTGAAGTGAACAACCTTTCCTCCGCCACGATGACCGTCGTCTTGCACCTCTTGGTGGGGAACAAAGTGTGGCTGCAGGTGAAGGACGAAAACTTCAACGGCGTGATAGCCGGCGATGATCACATCAGCATGTTCTCTGGGTTTCTGCTGTACCCTGACTCCTGCGAAATGATGTTTGGTCGAGAGGGACCAGGTTCTCATTATGAATTGCCTAAGGGCGAGTACACCTGGAATAGTTCCTCGCAAACCACCACGCCTCAACCATAATCAGTCAGTCGCGGGTAGATGACGCCTCCAGCCAATCAAAACAACTGCATGTTTTAAAGGAGGGGTATTTTGTCACATTATCCACAACAATAAAACGGTTTTATGATCTGACGCTGCAATAGGAATGGGAATCGCGGTGCATTATTGGCCATTTTGTGAGGATAGCGTCTATAGCGAGAGCAGTCAATATATATCAGCGTTTTCCGCTCATCTGTCATTGGATTTGCATCAGAAATGAATAAAGTATGTGTGAAATATAAATACCCTGACACAGAGAAGGGTAATTAATGATGTGTCCGTATGAGTTAAGAGAAGAACGATCACTGTTACTGATGTCGGTCCTCTCTGGTGTTTGGAGTTAGTGTCTACACCTGTCGCTCATTTAAAATATTTAGAGGCCCATGTCAAGTTTACGAACGTTAGACCTTTTAGATCTACAGGTTTAATGACAATGCAATAATCCGGTAAAACAGATAAAAACCTGGGGGTGCAAAGGAGCAAATAAGATCGGAGTTATGACATTATATCCATTACACGTTAAAATCGAATCCTCTTAGCGTTACCTCAAGGCTTTTGGTTTTCAGGTGAAACATCTCAACAGCTATTGGATGGACTTCCATAACTTAACTCTAACCCCTGCCATTAAACTTTCACACCTCGTAACCCGAAATAATCACATTTTACACGGCATTACCAGTGGTAAATAGCCCCTTAACCTAACCCTAGCCATAATTCAATAACCTAACCCTAACCCTAATTCAATAACCTAACCCTAGCTATCACCCAGACCAGGTTCCATATGAACGCCCTCCTCGTAGCCCGAGATATTCCAATTTGAATCGACATTCTCAGTGGTACATTTCACATAACTGTATTAGGTTAGTTGAAAGCAAAAATATGAAGTTGAACCTATTTTAACTTAATAGTATTTCTCTCATCTAACCTAATACAGTTATGTGAAATGTGTTGATATAATACATTTAGTTAAAGTCAACGTTTCAGTTTCTTCAGTGTATCACGTGGTTTAGTAAACTCATAACAGACGGTATTGTGTTGGAGTCTTGGAAAACAAATAACAAATTGAGGAAACAATAAAATAATTAAATACAATTATTTTTGTTTTAAATGCGATTCATTAAGAGAAATACCCCTCCTTTAAAAGTGGAGATATATTCAGTCTCATGATTCAACACTCACTGAAATAGCAAAATGCACAAATGCTTTTCATCGTGTAATTACTTTAATGAATGGTTAGACCGCTGAGCTGAAATAATTTTATGTTTTTAAAGCACTACGAATCCTCTGAGTAAATGTGTTGTAATCCTTGAGTTCAGCGACCTGCAGTTTAGTTTTAGACCCTTAATACTTTCTACCTTTTTAAATGTTGATGATACGTAACGTTTGATAAAAGTTAATTATTTTAAATTGCAAGCAAGGCGGCTGCTTGGAGCACAAGTCCTGCAACAACTTAGTCATTTTATTTCAGACAAAAGCAACAGAGTCGAGTTTGAGCAGAGTCTCTTCATTCAGTTGACGATGGAAAGAAGATCAAACTATGTATACATATTGAGATTGGTCGTTCTGGAAGAAATCACTTGACAGCACAAAGAGGATTAGGACAATCTTCAAAACAGGGATGACGTATTTTGGTTTGAAATCTCTTCAGCTCGTTTTAATCACAGAGCTTATTTCAGGCTTCTAACCAAAGACAAAAAAAAACATCGACTGAACCTGAAACTGCTGACTCATTTCCGGGTTTTAGGACTCATTCCTGCACCTCACTATTCCTCTGCAGTCAAAAGGGATCGGTTTGTATCCAGACTTGATCAATGAGAGGCAAACTGAAGGCTGATCTGATGCCGGGTGCAGACTTTTGGCCCTGAGCTACCTGTAGCACATGTTTGCAGGAAATTGGTCCGTATCATTATATTTGAGCCACATTTGAGCTGACTCAGTTAGCTGGGTTCATAGATATACTAACGTGAGATCTGCAGTACAAATACAACCCTTGCAGTTCTTTTGTCTCAGTCAAGTTTTTTTAATTCAAGCTCTAAAATATTTTTGGTTTAGCGTAAGAAGATGTGATTTTTATTGAACATAAATCTGGCAAAGAGAGAGAGAGATTGTAGAGGGAAATGTCGTATATGTGAATCAGCACCGTGCAAAAGTCAAATCAAAATCAGAAAGATGGTTGAGGGAAGACGCTGTGAAGGAAACAAGATGGTGGAGGTCCTGGTCAGACAACCATGTGATGTGTTTGTTTCTTAACTGCAATTAAAAAATAGCACCAAATAAAAAGTCCTCAAGTTTATGGGTGGGTTCAAAAATGTTGTATCATAAAAGAAACCTTAGAAACTGAATTCATTTTTTAAATTGTCGTTAATATTTTAGATAACAGATATTCAGCGTGACTCAACAGGGAAGAAGGGGTCATGAGTTCTTTAAGAAATCACTTTTAAAACCTTGTGGTGAATTAGAAAAAACAAGTATGTCGATTTCTGGACTTTTTGGACGGCACAGAGGTGAACAAAATGTGGCTTCAAAATGAATAAAACCTCC